TACTGGTCCAACCCACTTTTACAAAGATTGCATTTCATTCAAATTCTTCTCAAATTGATGCAAAAATGGTGGGGGAAGTTGTGTAATTTTATTTCCTCCTTGATAATCAATTATAACCTTCTGATTAAAGATTAGAAATTCAGTATTGAACCTGAATTGGTGGACATAACAGAGCTTGACAGTATAGCATCTAAGTCCAAAAGTAAAAAATAGCTAGATGTCGAAACCCTGATCCCCTCTCTGCTCCACACATCCAGGGGCGCAGTGGGAGTTACCTTTTTGGGGGGGCAAAGCTGAAAATTTTCCGATAAAACTATGATTTTTCCGACAAATTTTTTCTCAATACATTCCTTGAAGATTACCCTTGCTGCATATACTGCAACACTTGATACTACAATATCACGAATGGATCTGGAAATCGTTAACGAATGGATCGTTCGTTATACACCTTCAAGTTCAACAATAGCCTTTATTCTAACAAAATTTACCAAATATAAATCAATATAAACAAAACTGCAACTAGTTATAAATTTACACCCTACAAGTCTTCTCGCTATACTAGACAATAAACCGTCACGTTAGTGTTTATAGCTGTTTATAGCAAAAAGTTTTTGGCAAGTTTCAAGTCGCATCATAATTACTTTGCATTTACTTATGCTAAACCTTAAATAGATATAACGCGTCCAAAAGAATAGTTTTCTTTTAACTGAATTTATATAAACTGTTACTCAAGCAGCATCTTTCTCAAAAGAGGTGTGGCAGCATACAAATCGATGATGTCACCAAAGTCTATCGACTGTAAAATATCACTTTCGACGTTGATTGTTATCAGAGAGGAAAGGCGGTCTTGTCCCATCGTTGACTGTAGCCGATTTTTTTACAATCCTCAGCTTTGAAAAAGCTCTTTCATAGTTTGTTGAACCTATTGGCAAAGTGACGAGAATCTTGTAAAGAAGGACCAGCTGTGGAAAGGCACTTTGCAGGTTATACTTATCATCAACTCAAGAACTGAATGGAACTGAAAAGTTTTCTCTTTCTCCTGCAGCCGGGAGAGGGTTGCTCTTTTCTCTTACTTTCCAAAATTTACGGTAATTATTGGCGAAAGAGCTGTACTCATCTCTTAATTTTTCGTCATCCAGGCCGTAATTCTTCGCAAACTTTTTTAATTACACTGCACACAACTGCCTTTCAATTGTTTTTTGAAAACATTCAGGGTTGAGCAAGGCAAAATGTGTCAAAATTGCCTTATGAGACGTGAATCTTGTATTCATTGAGCTGATAGCTGTATCTACTATCACGATGATATACGGATTCCCTATTTCCTTCTAATTCATCCATGCAATTTTCCCCTGGCATCTTTTTCTTTCTGCGTATTCGTCGCTCGACAAAATTTTCCTCTTCTAAGTCATGGCGAAAATAATAACTTTTTGCGTCTTCTACAACACCAGCGAATTCATTTCGAAATGAACTGAGTTGAATTTTAACTGTCGGAAATGGGAGTTTATAAAATAACTGAGACCAGAGCGTTAATTTCCTTTACAAATTTCAGCAATGCGATGATTCCGAAAAATACTCTAATGAAAATAAGTAAGAAGGGTTGATCATGCACTATTTTACGACAGGTTTAAAAAAATATGCGACCTTTTAGACAGGATCGATGAAAACCTTACATTTTGTCTAATATTTCAAATTTTCCGACAAACGTTGGATTTTCCGACAATCCGACAAAATTTTTGCCAGGGGGGGCGGCTGCCCCCCAGCCACTGCGCCCCTGCACACATCCCCCTGGCACCACGTGCTGAGAAGAGGGGGTCAAAGGGGTCAGTGACCCGGGGGCCCGTGGCAATAGGGGCCCATAAATAATAACAGCCTGTCCATTATCACAACCTGTCAATAATAGTTGCAATAATAAAATCTATGAATGAATAAAATAACGCAACACAGTAATAATCCTTTTGTGTTATCTCACTGAAACAGAGCTAGTAGCATTCGGCAATTTTCTAAGAAATTAACAAAACTTTTTAACAAAACTGGAAATCATTAAGTGCCAGCTTTTGGATTTCACTGTCAGATCGAGATAAATTTTGATAATTTTTTTGCCTTCGATATTTCTTGGGCATTTTGCTCCTTAGCTACATAAGAAGCTTTTTCCACCAAGATCGAATCGCATCTATCTCTCAACAGTTGTATTTCATCCGAGAGGTTCTCAAAATTTTGCTACTCAGCATTGATTGTTGTTTTTCTTAGCTGCAATACTTTTATTCTAATATCAACTTGCTTAAAAATTTAAGTCTTTTTATAATCAAAATCACGGCTTTGAACAACTGTAAGTATTTGGCTTTTTGGAGATATATAGCTTTTTGCACTCAATTTATTGCTTTTAGGAATAGAAGGTGACGTCAAATAATAATAAAACAGTGGCACTCACATTTGTATGCAACAGTTGACCTACCCTGGGTACCAGACTCAGTGTGAGGACCTCTCCGAAGACCCCCCTTAACCATTATTACAAAAACTGACTTACCCCCGGGAAAAAGACTTTCAGTTAGTTAGAGAGAAAGAGACTGTTCGAATCACGTTGAGGAGTTGTAAAGAGTATTTGGTTTTTAAAAAGGTTTGCGTTGTATTGCGTTACGTTAAAAAGGTTTGCGTTAAAAAGGTTTGCGTTGGAAAACTATGTCGTGTTTTGTGTGTTTATTACTTGAAGCTAATTGATTTGCACTCGAACCGGGCCACATCAATAAGTGAGTCTGGTACCCAGGGTACAGTTGACCTGACTTGTTTGAATTTAGTAAATTGAGGTTTTGGTACCGCAAAACTTGAAGATTGCACGAATTAACGGAAACATAGCAAAATAAAGGACTTTTCACCCGATACTTTTAAACGAGACTCTTTATTTTTTTTACTTCAGATAACTTTTAAACTTCATTTTTTTGAATAATTTAATAATTTGATAATTTAATAATTTTAATAATTTGATAATTTAATATTTTTTAATTCCCTAGCCTCCATTCATCACTTGTGCTTGGATACACCCAAAAATCATGCAACGCAAAGAAATTGCGAAGAATTGTTGCTTCACCATAGGTCAGCCAATGACGACTAGCCAGAAGAGGAAAAGAAGTACAACTGACAGATTTAAACACATTTCAAGCTTTAAGTGCATTAGAATGTTTACAAAGTTTGACATACATTGATAGAGAATTATTGAAAGATTTCTAACTTGGTACGTTTATTTGCAGTTGTGTACCAACAGTTGGTATTTATAGTTGCATTAAGCACGGGGGTTAATTGCCTGAATCAACAATTTGACTCTGCTTTGCCCACATCTAATATATGATGCAGTAAACTCTTTTTTAAAAAGATCAAGATAATTTTTGCCGACGCTCGATGTCCTTATAATTTGGATAACTTCAGACTCAGGTGCAGTAGCAGCGCCACGGGGGGGGGGGGGGGTGCACCCGAGTAGCGGCCCCCCCCTAGTTCTCAGCAGAATCGATTTTGTATTTTGTCTAAATTCGATGAGAAAATGTTGGGGGAGGGGTAATATTTTGCCACCGTACTTTTTGTGATGTAATCCTATGATTTTCAAACTGCCAATTTTCAAACAAACGTTAGTCATAGGCGTTCCCTTCGGATAAAATTTGCGTTCCCTGTCGGTAAAAGGGCGTTTTCTGGTGGTTTAAAGGGCGTGGCTTAAATTTTTTTGGTTTTCCCCCCAGAGCTTAGTGGCTGGCGCCGCCATTGCTCGGATGTTCCTAATGTTGTTCTTTTAGCAGCATGGTTCCAATTTTTAGCAGCACGGTTCATTGGAGGTTAAAAAATCGGCTCTGTTTTGTTAACACGAGAGAAAATGTGTCCATGGGTCATAATCATTAAAGAAAGCTTACGATTATTGCCTAGGATCTTCTATAAAGATATTGTAAATATTCTAGATGTATAGGAATGCTGGTTGTTGGTGTTGATTGGTTCCTATATTAATTCTTTTGCAAATTCTTTAGAGACATGTTGTCGTTTTAGACCGTTGTGTCTTGATGAATTTAATGACTAATTAGATGAATACAAAACTTGGCGTATACACACAAAACGAGGGGATGCTATAAAAGTATTGTTGATTAGGTTACTGTGGGTACAGAGACAATGAAAGGTGTTTAAAACAGTGAAACAATGGAGGACATGATAACGATTGACAATGGTCACTAAACACATCTTAACATTTTTCCATGGTGGCGGCAATTAATAAATCTCTTAGAATTATAAGCATTTTGCCCCCTCACTTTCAATGAACTTTCCCCTCGCCCTTCCGATGGAACGAAGGTTTTGATCTCAGCTGCCAATCAACTGTCAATTTAACTAGTGCTCAACCAATGATCCATAAAAAAATCATTCTTGGTCATGGTAAAATTACCAGATTACATGAAAAGAAAGCCGCAAATCATGTAGTAGTTAAGGGTCCTTTTTTTTCTTCGTAGTTAATGGTCCTAGGGGTCATAGGGGTCATAGAGGTCCTATGGTCCTAGGGTCTGGTTTTTGCAGTATGCCATAAGCAAAGGCTAAACAGTTAATCTAGCATTAGCTCTTGTGTGGCCGTTTTTGTGGCGTATTCAGCAAGGTAACCACATTGTGCATTGATCACTAGTAAAAGCGTACGACCAGTTAGTGTGCCTGACACTTTTTCCAAGTTATACGAAAAATTAATAAATAATCAAATTAGTCCTCATCTCGATAAAACCCTGTCCGCTTTCGTTGCAGCCTACAGGAAGGCTTACAGTACACCGCATATCTTAATTAAATTGCTTGAAGACTTGAAAGTCAAATTGGACAATGATTACATTGTCGGAGCAGTACTGATGGATTTATCAAAGGCCATTGTTGGAGCGATCAAGTCCTGGGAAGAGGGTGGTGCCCAGTCTTTCTCCCGTCGAACACTTCGTGATGAATCGCTTCGGCACATGACCGCAAGAGTTTGTTTGTTGGCTATTGTGGCTGAGTGTGTAGTAAGCACGTTTTTGTTACGAAAATCACGTACATAATCTCACAAATTGATTTTCTCTATGCTCCGACCTAGACTTTACAACAATTGGCGCCCAACGTGGGGCTGGGGTATAAGGAAAATATTTCGAGCTGAATCGTGAGATTAAGCGAGTTGGAACGAAACGAAATGTCCACGCAGGAAGACGAAGTTGAACGTCGCGCGGAAGCAAGAAGAATCGAGAACGGAAATGTGGAGAGACTGAAGAGAACCCCAGGTGGAAACAGGGCAGTAATTACGAGGTTTGAGCGAGAAGCGACTTTGATAATACGGGATCATGGTGATACCCTTACCACGGAAATCCTAGCGAAGCTGGATTCGATTTTGTCTGTTCTTCAGCAGAAAAGGAGGCTATTGTGTAACTTGAACGATGAAATTTTGGCAAAATGTCATATTGATCAAATAGAGAAAGAAATCGAAGAATCAGCTGAGATAGATGTGAAGATCGAGGAAATTATATTGAGAATTGGAGCTTGCAAAAGGGGTACTGTTGTTGGAGCTTTACGCGGACTTGCTTAACCGACTGGAGTTTCTACACCGCCACCCGCTATTCGAAATGACTTGTCGACCGATGCAACGCTCTTCGTACCAGCAAATGGACAGCTGAATAGGAGTGGTAGCTCCTCACATTTGAAAAATATTGATGTAAAGCTGCCTAAAATTAATTTGCCTAATTTTTCTGGCGATGTGACTAAGTATCAAGCCTTTTGGCAAAGCTTTCAGTGTGCTGTGCGTGAAAATTAACAGTTATCGGCGGTTCACAAAATGAACTATCTAATGCGATCACTTGAAGGAACTGCATTTAAAGCCTTGGAGGGGCTGGCAATTACCGAAGAAAACTATGAGCATGCTATAAACATTTTGCAGACAAGGTTTGGAAATCCAAAGCAAATAATTAGCGCTCACATGCAGGCGCTGTTGAATTTGCAGAGTTATCCAAATGAAACTGTGTCACAGATTCGAGCAATATACGACAATATCAATGTGCAAGTCCGTGGACTGGAGACGTTAGGCATTTCATCGGAACGATATGGCAGTTTGTTAGTGCCCGTGATAATGTCAAGAATGCCGGCAGAAATTACCTTGCAAGTGGCTCGAAAGACATCAGAGCAAATTTGGCGAATAGACGAGATTTTGGACATCATAAGGAAAGAAATTGAGGCAAGGGAAATAAGCCGAAAACTTGACACGAAGACCACTTGAAAACCTGAGAGAACAAGCTCTGCAGAATATCGAGGAACAACGAGAGCCTTTGCGGTTATCAAAGATGGTAAAAAGGAACGAAAGCTGCAGTGTTATTTTTGTCAAGGAGCACACTATGCAGAAAAGTGTAAGGTAGTTACCAGCATCGAAGAAAGAAAATCAAAATTGATGGAAGGAAATCGTTGTTTCAATTGTTTGAGGATTGGAGATCGAGCGAAAACATGCAGAAGTCTACCGAAGTGCTTTCACTGTAAAAGCAAACACAATTCAGCATTGCACGAAGACCTAGTTATTGAAGAGAAGCGAGGGGTACCTGCACCGCAAACGACAGTCAATACCGCGTCAGATGAGAGAAAGAATGTTCTTCTAAAGACAGCACAGACGTATGGCTTTGGTGCGGATAGGAGCGAGAAACAGCTGGTGAACATCCTGTTTGACTCAGGCAGTCAGAGAAGCTACATTTCAGAAGAAACGGTGAAGAAGCTGGGGTTGAAGGTCGAGAAAACAGAGACCGTATACTTGAAAACTTTCGGTTCAAATAAATATGGGAAGTAAGTGATAGGGTAACGGTAAATCTAGAAAGAGGAGATGAAATATTGCCGTTAACCGTATTAAGTTCCCTCCATCTTTGCTTGCCATAAAGTACACCAATAGATGTAAGTTGCTATCCACATTTACAAAGTTTGCAACTCGCTGATAGTTATGCGACTTGCGAAAAGCGCATAGAATTAAATATTGGTGTAGATTGTTATTATCGCATAGTGCAAGGCGAAGTAAGAAAGGGCGGCAATGGCCTTGTTGCAATAAGTAGGAAACTCGGTTGGTTGCTTTGTGGACCTGTTGTTTGTAATGAAGGTGATCAAGGCTCTTTAAGTAATGTGATGAATTTAATTGTTGATGTTTTACCTTCGAGAGACGAAATTACAGATGATAGCAGAGAAATCGTCGAATCGCTGACGAAATTTTGGAAAAACAAATCCGCGGGTCTTTACGAAACCGAGAATCCTGAAAACAAGAAGATCGATAATGGAGAGGTGGATATCAACTTCAAGGATGGTCGCTACACGGTAAGACTTCCATTTAAAGATGATTTGTATCGTAGCCTACCTTCAAATTATGAAATAAGTAAGAAACGGCTTGAATCATTGTTCAGTAAACTTAAAACGAAGACCGATCTTTTGAAACAATATGATGAAATTTTTCAGCAGCAACTTTCTGATGGTATTTTTGAAGAGGTTTCTCAAGAAGATATTGATAAACAAGGGTCACATTTTCTTTGTCACTTTGGTGTTATTAAAAGTGATAGAGAGACAACCAAATTGCGTATAGTGTTCGACGGTTCCGCGAAAAATTCACAAGGAAATCTCTCTCTAAATGATCGTCTTGAAACAGGGGAGAATTCTATGCCGCATCTTTTTAACACCTTGATACGATTTCGCACGAAGCCAAAAGTTTTGACAGCGGACATAGAGAAGGCATTCCTCCAAATCGAACTTAATGAGGAGGATCGTGACGCACTACGATTCTTATGTATGGTATGATGATGTGACTCGAAATAACCCAACAAAATGTTGTTTTCGATATCGACGGCTTTGTTTTGGTCTTAATTGCTCGCCATCAATCCTAGGCCAAGTCATTAAACATCATGTTTTGCAATCCAAATCTGAGAGTCCCAAGGTGGTCGAGATTCTCAACAGGTTGTATGCTGACGATTTATCTTATGGAGCTCAACAACCACAAAAAGCCCTTGAAATATACGAAAAGGCTAAATCTATTATGTTAAAGGGAGGTTTTAAATTGCGTAAATGGGACTCTAACGATAGCATGTGTTGGACGAAATTCGAAAGTCAGAGGAATCGGGTGAGACACCTGCGGTGGAGCAGAGCGTGGTCACCGGTGAAGATGACCAAACATTTTCTGAGTATGCATTAGGGACCTCAACAAGTAGTTTTGATAATGTGGGTAAGAAGGTTTTAGACGACTAGTAAGAAGCACAAAACGTTGTCTGACGAAAGTCGTGGGTCGAGCGACACTAAGTTATGGGGAATTGGAAACAATTGTCCTGGAAATTGAAAGAGTAATAAATCCACGACCCCTTACCTACGTTTTTGATGATACGGATGGGGTATCATATCCACTAACCCTATCCCAATTAATTAACGGTCGTAACTTGAGTCAACACCCAAATGAAGCACATTTTGAAGTAATTAATACGTATGAGAGTTTGTCGAAACGAGCTAAGTATAATCGAAAATTACTTTCTAATTTTGTAGATCGATGGAGGAAAGAGTACCTACTGGGGTTGTTGAAAACTTACAGGCCAAGATATTTGTATCCTTAGGAAGGACCAGAAAAAAAGGTCCTTTTGGAAACTTTGCCTAGTGTTAGAGCTGCTGACAGGAACAGATGGTTCAGTGCGAGCAGCCAGGGTATTAGTAATATCACGGGATGGCAGTAAGAAAATCTTGAATCGAAATTTGAAATATCTTATTCCGTTAGAAATTCGATGTTCCTATTGGCAGAAAACCGAGTGTGCCGCTAATGCAGCCAAGGACACGCGAGCAATGCCACCTCAGGGTAGTGCGCAGCAAACGCAACCTAGGCAAAGGCAACAAGCGCCTTCGCAACCACTGCAAGCTATTACTAGGGCGAAACGCAAAGCTGCTATTATTGGAGAGATGCAAAGGCAAGCTAGTATGAAACGTAAATGAATATATTGTGATTTGCAGTTATGTTTCGAGTTTAAAATATTATAGTTGATTTTATATTCGTATTTATAAGGATGTTCGATTACGCTGTATATCAAACCGGGGGAGTGTGTTGGAGCGATCGAGTCCTGGGAATAGGGTGGTGCCTAGTCTTTCTCCCGTCGACCACTGCGTTGACATGTCTTTCGTGATAAATCGCTTTGGCACATGACCTCAAGGGTTAGTTTTTATTCATTTTTCTTCATTTTATAATATTTATATAGGTTAAAGGTTCATACATATATTTGTTTTTCAACCTGACCTGTTTAAAAGATTAAAATAAGCTCTAATACCAAAAAGGAAAGAAATTTACTAATCAAACCTAATTTACAATATTATATAAAACTAGGGCTATAAAAAGAGAACGTAAAGATGAAATAAAAGTTGTCCCCGACTATAGCTGTTCTTTGAAGGTTTTCAGGGAGGGGGCCAATTTAGTAGCTCTTTCTAGACTGTTCCACAGTTTTGGACCGCGATAAGAAAAGCCTTTTGGCCATTTATCGTTGTGTACGAAGAATTGAGTACACTATGTAGTGGGTCGCGGGGAACGCATACATATACCTATATATATATAAATATATATATATATATATATAGAGACGCTTTTTCGTAACTTTTTTGCTATGCAAGGCATGCTCGTTTTCCTGTAATTAGGGTACCGATTTCTATTGCTTGCGGCCACGAAATTATGTTGACTCAACGTCATTACGAAGTCAACGATGCAAAGAAGCATTGTATTATTGGCAGAAGGGAAGTTGGCACGGCTTTTCGCGAAAACAATCAATCCTTTGTGGCATGACGTGATTTAAGAAACGGATATAGTGGCAATAAAAGTTTTGATTGGAAAAGTGCATTGCTATTGTCAATTTTGCCATTGCTATTCTTCGCATATCAGAGCCCTGTGCTCCTACCATGAAGATACCTCAGCACGTACTCTAGCGCTCCAACGTGCATGGAGCTGTGCACTTCGCGACTGAAAAGATCTTACAAATCGTGTCACCTATACTAATACTTTGCAACGTAATAACACCACAATTTCCAATTAAAGTAATTTCAAATCCAAAAAGCAAGTAAGCAAAGAATAACTATCTTTGTCGCAACAAACAACTAAATTTAGCGCCTCAGCGTTTCTGCCCTCAGATGCTCTAGGCAGGCACGTAAATAATAGGGGGGCGTGGGGGGCGTGACGCCCCCCCAAAGTTTGGAAAATCCAGTTACAGTTGGAAAACATAACGGTTGACTTGGAATTTTATCTTAGGACCAAACTTGTGAATTTTATATTTTAAGAAGTTTTTTTATTTTAAATGTAAAAATTCTAAACATTAAAATTCACAGGCTGAAGCTGACCCGTCTCCACTGGATCCAAATTGCACAATTGCCCTGTTTGCTTTCTTTCTGACGGGAGTTGAATCAAATTACGAGCAGGCAAGGTGAATTTCCGGATAAGAAACTTGAAACTTTACAGTTTGGAATAATAATTCCCGTATTGATCAGAAAGTATTAGAGTGGGAGTTTTTTAAGAAACTACGAGTAGTTAATTCAATAAAAGATTAATAATCTTTCAGTACTAAAAATTCTCAACGCTTCTTATAAAAACGAGTTTATGCTAAACTCCCCCTGTTATTTGTTAACGCCCTTGACTCCTTATCATAAATTCCTATGACAAAACTGCTGTAAAGCAAGAACACATTGCAAAAACTGCAGTAGAATATTTGATCAAAGAAGAGTGTTTTATCTTTCGGATCAGGCATATGCACAAGTTTGTTCTCAAATCATCATTTCAATTGTAAAGAATGAAAAGGAATTTGGCCCTCTGAAAATTGTTAGTAGTTTTATTCGATCAAGAACAAAAATTAAAGGCTCAAGTTCTTGGTGCTTCTATATCGTGAAAAAATGTATTTTAGATAAGATTGATCTGCGCCAATTGATTAATTGATCTGAAAGAATACTACTAATCATTAAGTATATCTAATACTGGTTTTGCTTAAATGTTGCTTTACTTCTTACTGTAAGTTAAAATGTCTGTTTCATGTTGATCAAAATTTAGAGATTTAGGCTTTTATGCTTTAGGCTAATTATTGAGTAAAGTTTTGGTAATTATAAAGAAAATAGAACTATGGTGTTCGGGCTATTTACAAATATCAATTTAGTAGGTACAGTAGATTTACTGGTCAAATGAAAAATTTCTTACTTAGATTGGAATTTTCATCCTTCCACGCCCCCCCAAAATTAGCAACTTGTTTTCGTCCCTGGCTCTAGGTGAAAGGTTCGAAGATCATCGATCGCATCAGTTAATATTGAAAGCTTTATAACGGTTTCCATTCCAAAAAGCAACTCAAGTATAAAGTATAACTACCATGGGTGTAGCGGATGCTATTAAACTACCTACAAAGCATCAAAAGAGTACCGGCATTCTTCGTACACAGCGACAGGATACCTATGTTTATCGGCGGTATCTTAAGATCAGTTTCTGATGAACGCACAAACCGTTCTACAAAAATAATAATTGCTATGGATGTAGTTAACAATAGTTCATTCATTTAGTTTGAGCTTCGTAATGCACGTAATCGTAAAGCCTCATTTCAAGAGTCGTTAGGAAACTGACTCAAGATTCAAGCTTCACAGGTATTGAGTATTGGCGTCAATCTATTGTTAGAGAGATTTAACTTTTCATGTTTTAGTAAAATCTGATTAGTTTGACGAATTGTTTTTCTTAATTCCTATTGGTTACGCTATTTTTATACTTTTTGTAAAACGTATATATGCACGTGTGATTTAACTTAGAGTAGAGAGTTTGAGACTAGAGTTAACAGAATGGAAGTCTCAGAATTGAAATTTTTGATGTTGAACTTGGAAGATGTTTCTTTTTGAGCACAACTCTGCAATTAAATACGTATCTTGAACTAGCGCTTGAAGAATACTTAACACGTTCTCTATCATCCGAACATTTTGCGAATAATTTTCTCAAGTAGTCTGGTGCAAGTAAATTTAAAGATTTGTTAGTTAGCGTGGCTGTCTCCTTTCTTACAAGATTACTGATAGTTGACCAGCCAAGATTCTGAATTATCGGAGCAGCAGACGCATCGTATGGGCTGCTAGTTACAATTCTGGCAGCTCTATTTTAGATTTTATTCAAGACGTCAAGCCTTGATTCACTACAGCAGCCCCAAACGGAACAACAGTAGCTCAAATGGGGCTCAACAGTTCCTCTATACATTTTGTTGAGTATGTCAGATGGAAGATATTTCTGAGAATACCTAATAAGTCCAAGGACTCGATTAGCCTTGGTCTTGATAGTATCGATATGCTTGTCCCAGTTACGTTTACTGTATATCTGAACATCTAGGTATCTTGTGTTGGTAATCATTTCAATGTCTTGATCACCTATTAAAAAAGATGGTGGAGCATCAGGCTGGCTTTCAGTCTTATGGATGTTTGGACCAGAGCCTGTAACAAGTGATTGCGTTTTCGCAACGTTCAGGGAGAGTTTGTTTGCATGCAACCAATCCTGTAGCTTCAAAAGATCTAAGTTTAGGTCACTTTGCAGGTCATCAATACTTTTTTAAGAGAGGGAAATGGCCGTGTCATCAGCATACATGCTGACATGAGATTTCTGCAAGGAAAAAGGCAAATCATTAATGTAAATCAGGAACAAGAGTGGACCAAGACAAGAGCCTTGAGGAGCTTCACAATTTGTTCCCCTCACATCAGAGGCGGTGCAATCTACCCTGATGTGTTTCATTTATCCAAGTATGATGTGAACCAGTCATGGTCCAGGCCGGTCACTCCGTACATTTTCAGTTTTTCAGTAGGGTTTTATGATCAACCGTGTCGAAAGCCTTCTTCAAGTCAATAAAGATTAGACCAGTGTATTTTCCTTTATCTTTATCCAGGTACCGATCATTGGTGCTAGCCAGAAGGGCTGTGGCTACCGAGTGTAAGAGTCGAAAACCAGGTTGATGCTCATATAGTGATTTATTTGCATCCAGGTATTCATAAAACTGATTAAAAGTTAATTTCTCGCTATTTTCCAATCCTCCGGAAATTTCCCGGCAAGCAATGATTTATTGAAGAGATCTCACAAGGACCCGCCAACCACTGGCAAAGCAATCTTAAAATAAAAGCTCACAATGCCATCGTGACCTGAACAATGCGATGTCTTCATCTTATTCAAGGTTGATGATTATTTTTTTTGTCATGATGGCAGAAAAAGAGAAACTTAATGAAGGAGTTTCAAACGGGTATTCACCAGACAAGAGTGGATTGGCTTTATTTGGAATTTTATCGCTAAGTTTATTCCCAATGCTGCAGAAGTACTCATTCATTGAAGATGCAATTGCTTTGTTACCCCTAATTGTTTGCCGTCTACAGTAAGGTTAGGCGCAACTGTAGTGTTCGACTTTTTGTTAATGACTTGGTTGATGGTTTTCCAAGTTTTCTTGAGGTCATCTTGAAACTGCGTGATTTTTTCAGAGAAATACTCACGTTTAAGTTGTGTATTCAAGTTATTTAACCTGATTATACTTACAGTGATTTTCAATCTGTTTTATCAGGGCTATCGCAAGGATCAGTCCGTGGTCCTATTCTTTTCAATTTCTACATCAATTACCTGTTTTATTTCATTAAAAAGGCTTCTCTTGTAAATTACGCAGATGACAACACTTAAGCACATTTTTCAAAAAGCCTGCCTCAATTAATTAACGTCTTGGAAAAAGAAGCAAGCATCGCCCTTACCTGGCTCAAGGGTTAGCAATCATTTGATTCTGATAAAGCCTTAATCAGAATAAAATGATTGCTAACCCAAAAAAATTTCATGCTCTTCTCGTCAGAAAGAATAAAAAGTTCTGAAGCTTCAGCAAAAGTTCTATGGAGAAGATCGAAAAAATACAGGAACGAGCCCTACGTTTTCTTTACGATGATCATGATTCATCTTATAGAGATCTGCTTTGCAAATCACAAAAATGCACAATGCATGTAGGTCGGCAAAGGAACCTCTGTATTGAAATTTTTAAAATTGTAAAAAGGTCAAATCTTGAATTCATGCAAAATATTTTCGAACACGAAAAAACTATTTGCATTTTCAAAATCTTTAAAATTTATGAACTATAACAAAGAAAATCGATAGCCTGAATATACCTGACGCACTATTAGCCTGTTATTGATAACCAAAGAACTTAACATATAGGCTACTCTTGCAGAACTTATTCTTTACGTCTATAGACAACAGGATTTCGAAGATAATTAATAGAGAGTGCGGGAAAATAACCGACCCGAGCGAGGCTATGTTTGAAGTTCAATTTCTTGATAAGTTATATGTTTGATGAGAAAAGTAATAAGCTAGAGGTTTGTTTTGGTATTGACACTGCAACTTTTGAAATAAATTTCATAAGGCTACTTTATTTTTCAACAAATACCAAATATGAAACTAATTTGAAAGTTTTTTCTTCCAGAAAGTGGCGCGAAAGTGGGAATTCTTTCCGCTGCCAAACTCAAAATAAATTATTTTTTATAATGGTTCTGTACGAGGCTAGCTCAATATGCCGGTCACATTTTCGTCACATGATATAAATGGTACCACCTCAAACTTTGTATGGATGCTTGATGTGGCTGCTCAGTTTCAGAAGAATAAAAAAGAAACCCTTGGTAGATTTTTTCGCTAAAAACTATTCAGGATGATGAAAAAGAAGGTATGTAAATTTATGTAAAATGAATTTCACTTCGAGATGCAAAAATTGGGCTAAGCACGGCTTCCTTCTTTCTCTTCCTTAAGGGTGCCCCAAACAATTTAACTTTTACGTTTAGAAGTAGGTTCTAGTAGGTACTAGAAGTAGGTAGAAAGAGAGTCCAATCAAATGAATAGTAAAAAATGTCCACAAAAAATGTCCTTTTTATTTGATATCTGAGCTTTTCATAGCTACACTGTGAACTATAGCTAAAGTAGTCCCTTTCATGTACCAAAGGTCATAGCCCCGTTTAGCACTATAGGTACTGTATACTAAAAGTAAAGTGTTACAGGGCCTTTTTTAACATACTAACTAGGGAGGCAATCGCCCCTACAGCCCCAACGATTTTCTATTGTTTTAAACAATAGGCTGTTGTCCTTCTCCTTCAATAAACAAAGCTTCACCCTCACAGCTAATTTCTGGAATAGGCAATGAAGTGTTATATGACAGAGGTGGGCAATGAATTTTCACAAAGGGCAACATAAGATACCTGAACTGTGTTGGAGGGCCAAGCATAACTTTTTCTGCACAATAATCCTTATCTCTCCTAATGCAAAAATGTATAAAAAATTATTTATTTTGGCTGCTACTGATTATCAGAAAGATCTACATAGATATTACTTAAATTTTTTAGGCTGTTAGTATTTTTGGCTAAAAATGAATTTATTGTTTGTTGACTTTTATTGACTTTATGTATTTTAAATGAAAAACGATTTTGGTATTTTTTTAAGGTTCTCTTGATGGGCAAAAGTTGCTCGGGAAAAACTAGCATGAGGTCAATCATATTTGCTAACTATATTGCTCGTGATACCAGAAGACTGGGAGCAACAAGTATGTATATAACAGATCTCTGAAACATTTATCTGTCATGGATTGTAGGCCTCTCAGTTTGAGGCGCATGATTGCGTGCACGCATATCCACATATGCCAAGGCGAGACCAGGTCTGCATTTGTTCATGCACCTGCTTCCCATAAAGTAGCGACGTCATGCTTCTCAGCCATTTGCAAAAATCACTTTTTGTTCAAAAACTTTGTCTGGTTGCCCTGGGAATCATTTAATCAAAATCTGTATTGATCAGTGGCGTAGCGTCCGGGTATTCAAGGTATTCAGTGAATACCCTGAGATTTCTCAGAAAAAACATTGATACGACGTATATTTGTAATAACTAAAAAATGTTTTGGGGCAATTGATTCTGGTTGAATTCATTACCTTCGATATTCTACATTTTGTACAAGTACAAAATATCACGAAATTCATGGAAACAACACTGCGACGCATAGAGAGGCTGGGAGATCTTTGAAGATTGAGCTACTTCATGTTGAATGGAGATCGGTCATGAATACGCAGTGAATACCCTAGACGGTACTTTAACCAATCAAAATGCTCCTTTCCATGAATAATATTTGCCGTTAATCAGCTAAAACAATGGTCCTGTACGCTGAGAAATATGCAGCGTACAGCCTCAAAGTTGGTTCAAAATAGTCTCGTTTTGAGATCGATATAAACAGATAATGGACGTCGGAGCGGTTGGAGTGATGGATCTTCATCGAAAACAGTAAACATGACTTTATTCAAAAGCTATTGCAATGTCCGCATTACTGTTTCATAATCATTCTCTCATTTGACCCCTAATCTTAATCTACCAACAGCAAAGTGGAAAGGTAAGGTAGGCTTCTACATAATACTACACTGACTCAGATCTGTGCCCTCTTGAAATGTCAATTTTGTTATTGCTTGTCAATCAGAGATGCTTCTAATTGTGTTATGAGACGGAATTAAAGTAAATGCAGATAGGCCTGGATAATATCCTTATAGTTGCCTGGTGTATTCAGTTATCTTGTTGGTCATTTTGTTTGCATTATTCGAGCGCATTTATTTGCATTATCGTGCAGTCTCATCTCATTACCTTCGATTCTTTCAAACATTAACTTGTATTGAAAATATCACGATTAGGCCATGAAGAAAAAGTCTAGACTGCATACCACAAGCTATTTATAACTCGTGTAATGCCCTATGTGAATAATTTTGAAACTTTTGAAAGCCTTTTTGTATTAAGGTATCAAGATTAGGTGTTTACAGTTACTTCCTCTTTACATCAGTGCAAATTTTAGAGGATTCAACAACAACTATTGGGACATATTTCGACCAGCAAAATTTTACTGATTTTCAATGATACGTTTTGATTTGAATTACTTTTGATGAAATGGAATTTTGATGCAATGAATGAGTTCGAAGAGTATATTTGCGTTGGGTCCTTTTAGCAAAGTATCGTTTTCACCATAGTAATGCCCTGACAGTGCAGTACTTGCCAACCGAACCAAAAAGAAAAGTGTTAAAGTAATAGATTAAATGTCAAAAGCTAGTCCTTTTAATCTTCCTATTATCCCTCTATTTTCATCAAGCCCCATCGAGCCACACCCTGCCCCACCCTTTTGTTTAATAGAGAATACCCAGTTAAAAAAGTCACGCTACGCCACTGGTATTGATACTTAATGTGACTGCTTCAAGACCCTTTTAAGCTATGTGATGAGAATACATGGAATTTCAGAGAAAATTGTGATATTGATATGAGGTTAGCTGACCTGAATCCTCTAATCTTAGTCATAATTTTGGAAAAAGTTTATAAAGATGATTTAAAATTTAGAATCAACAATTATTTGAAAATAACACGAAAAGTGAATTTTATATATGTAACTTCATCAGACAGCCCTCAGAGAATAAACGTAAAAGGAAATTTATATCCAGATGACAATCAAGGGAGGCATTTGTGTGGCAGTAGTTTCACACCCAGTTGAGAATCCTACTACATAAAATATTTATCAAAAAGCAGTTCACTTGAATTGTAGTGGATGCTATCCACCAAAAACAATCACAAAGTCTATACATGTGCTTTTGCATCCATGCATGGACCAGATTCAGATCTAGATTGAAAGAGTTGGAGAGTTGCAATGAAAGAGTTGTATAAGCTGATTTTTAAAGAAATCTAGAACATGCAACTGGCTATGGAAAACTGTAAAAAATTTTATCACAGTTTTTAAAAGAGGGAATCACACCTGGGGACTGTTAAAAAAAAGAAAAGCACCGGTGAGAGTAATAACAGGCTCTTAAAACAGACAAAAATTAGTAAAAAAAATTAAAACACTACCTTTGTTTAAAAATGTGTTCCATATAAGAATATATGCTTTCAGTTTGGCAAAGGTTTGTCTGAAGTTAAGTGGACAAAATTGGTAGCCATGCCAGCTGGTTTCGGCCAGTATTTGAAATAACCAATTAAATGCTATTCGACAAGATTACTTGTTCAACTTACCAAGAGCTTTTATCAATCTTTTGCAGTTGATGTGGAAACATCACATGTTAGATTCTTAGGGAATCTTGTCTTGAATCTGTGGGACTGTGGAGGGTATGTAACTAATGGATGTGTTTTGAATAATTTTAAATGCCACAAAAAGCTGTAATATTGGCAATTGTATCTCTATAAAGGCCAATCAAGCATAAGATTTTGTGCTATATTTAGAGATTTATTGTCTTGTGTTCAGTTTTTTGTTATACGTTAAGTACCAAAAATTAATCCCACCTTTTTTTTAATGTCTTAATGTCTTTGAAAAGCAAAGCTTTGAAGCTTGCATGTAATTAAAATGTTTTTCCAGAGAGTAACATCATTAAATTATATTGTAAGCTATTTATTTTTGCTATCAAGAAATGTTTGTATTGATAACTGGAATCTTTAACTTTAGTCATTAACTTTAACCTAAATAGACTCTTTGGTAAAAATTCACCAGATGTATTCCACTTATTTAGAAGCTGATGCCTGTTCATGGAATTTGCCCCTCTTTTCCATAAAAACTGCCATCTTAATAATATTCTACCCTCGGTTCCTACCATTCTTAGCAATTTTTGCAGAAAAATTATTAAAGCATGGAAATATTTTGCAGAAAAAGTTTCTTACTTATTCTTCCAGGCAGGAAGCCTTTATGGAGAATTATTTTGCAAGTCAGCGAGACAACATTTTTCGTAATGTTGAAGTTTTGATCTATGTCTTTGATGTGGAGAGCAGAGAGATAGAAAAAGACATGCATTACTACCAGTCCTGTTTAGAAGCAATTTTGCAACATTCTCCAAAGGCAAAGATATTTTGTCTTGTTCATAAAATGGACTTAGTTCCTGAGGACCATAGAGATCAGGTGAAGAGATATATAGTTTTCTAGCCAAATGTCAGTTGTGGCAACTTTAAAATTTTGGTGAACAGGGCTGTCGAGAGCCAGCTCGGTCCCAGGGGTGATTCACACAGCTGGACCCCTTAAGAAAAGGTCCTATGGCCATGCCCTGCCGTCACAGGAGAACTAGGAAAACACCCTTTTAGCTACAATTGTTGAAAAATATTTTTAAGGATTTATGAAAATCTGCAAAAACTTTTTACATGAATGAAGGACATGTTTTCTCTGCGACAAAATTACAGGCGTTGATTTCATGTAAGTAGCTGAAATAGTAGTTTTTTTGCATTGTAAATAGATATTATTACATTAATACAGGCCCCATCAGAGCACCGCCCCCGGACCTTTTACCCCTCCTAACCCCTCTCTTGATGCCTCTGTGGTTGAATAATCTTAGGTACTGCATTTCAAGTAATTTTTGTCAGCACATTTTTCCTCACATTTTTAGCACATTTTTATTAGCATAAAAAATTTATCATATTTCTCCCATGCTTGCATTTTCTTGAGATTTCAGTAAAAGCAACCTGGGTGTTTTTGTAAACTTTAAGTAATGATTTTAATGCTAGGTCATTGATAATGCAACATCTAGATGACAAGTTGACAAAAGTGTGTCATATTACAGCTTTTCTTCAAATACAGTGGTAGGAAAGAAGATCCTGTTTTGAATTCAAGAAGTTAATGCTACTAAATATTCCTCTAGATATTCCATGAACGAGAAGAAGTGCTGAAGAGACTCTCAAAACCCTTAGATTGTATCTGCTTCAGAACTTCTATTTGGGATGAAACATTATACAAGGTAAGGTTTTGTGCTGTTGAAAACCTAACTTTGAATCTAGAGTGCCATGTCAGTTCATATATAAGATGAAATCATCTATATCAAATTTTGAAGCTTGTACACATTGAAGCTTTGCATTCACGCAAGCTTGGTTCCAAAAACCTGTTAAAGCACAGTAATTGCAAGGGAAGTCTTGTAAGAAAGACCCTATGGCAACATTTAAAACTTCAAATAATTTCTTGGGGCCTCTATTTGTCTGTGGGCCTCTAGGTCTGGACCTGGTGGACCCAATGGGGAGTGCTCCCTGGCACTTCTCTGCTCTAAGCAAAAGTAGCAAATAAGAGTTTATCAAAGAGAATTTAGGATTTCAAATACATGTGGTTTCTATTAGTATTTTACAGAGAAGTCATAGGAACCCAAAATTACATGGTTTTATATATTATCTTTTTCAAAAAGTCTCCAAAGAGTTTTTGTATTAATGGAATGGAGACAGAAATGTTAGTGTCAAAGTTGTTATAATGCCAGTTCTTTTTTTGGAAGATGAAAATGCCTGTAGTAAATTCTAATGAGTTTAAAAATTGACTCTACTGAAAGTGTTTTTCAAAAGGCTACTGAAATCCTAGACTAGCACATATGTAACCTTAGTGCTAATAGTGATAAAAATATTTGCTTTACTTTTGATCTAAATTTAGTTTTCCCTTCCCAGGCTTGGTCAAGTATAGTTTATAAACTCATACCAAATGTGCAGCAATTAGAGACTAATCTAAATGGTTTTGCAAAGGCTATTGAGGCAGATGAAGTCCTGCTGTTTGAAAGAGCAACTTTTTTGGTAAGGAAAAACCTTCACTATTATAGGTCTGCTAAGCAGCCAATACTATGAATCACATGTTTGGTGAACAAGTTTTCTCTATGATGTATTTAATTATCTTTGCTAAATGAATTTTTTAAACAGCCCTGAATCTGAATTTTGTATTTGTTACTACAAAACATCCAAAGGTAGTTTTTAGGACCCTGAGAGCAATGCATATCAGGCAGTGTCCTGGTCCTTTTTCTTGGTGTGACCATGTGACTCCTATGCCTGAAATTACAAAAAGCTGGCGACTCTCCTCATTCTAAGTAAAATTTTGCCTGGTCTGAGACCCTAACCACAGAGCCATCCTCGCACTTGGCTCAGTGGGTAGGCCTGGCATCATTAGTATGGACACAGTTCTCAACTATTTATAGATTTCTCACATTTGAAAGAAAGAACAAGCAATAGAATATAACTCCTTTATGAGCTCTATATGTTGATTCAGGTAGTGTATGTATTCTTCAATGGTAGCTGAAAGAATTTTGGTATTGACTTCCGAAACGGTACTTAGTTCAGTCTTTATTTGTTTTTCCTGAAAATAAATATTAAATTTTTTGTTTTCAAAGTTCTCAATAGTATTTTTAGGCTTTAATTTCAGAAAATCATTTTAAAAAATTGATATGTTTTTAGTGTGTCAACCTTGGATCGAGTCCAAGTAAAAGAAAGCTGCTGAATAAACCCATTTTCCAATTGTACCTTGACCAAAGCATGTTCTCTTTACAGGTCATTTCCCATTGTCAGCTGAAGCAACACAAAGATGTTCACAGATTCGAGAAGATAAGCAACATTATAAAGCAGTTTAAGTTGAGCTGCAGGTAATATTGATTTTACATTTTTTTTGGATAAAAATAAAGACTAAGAAAATAGACCAAAATCAACAAATAGTGATATTGCAGAAAGATGTAGTCCTTTGACTCTTGAGCCAAAGATAGAAGCTGTCTTGTTCTCAAAATGATAGTTGTGATGAAATTTTTTTATAGCAAGGCCATTGAGACAAGCAGGAAGTAACCAGGGTCACCACACTGGCACCTCAAACTTAATAGATTCAGGAATAGATTCGAAGTTATAAAAAGGCAGTGGTTGATTTAAGGGCAGTTGCCCCTCTCTCACCAGTTGAAGCTAGTCTGGTGCCCCTTTTTGGAAATGTTTTGGCACAATGAAGAATTTATGAATAAGTCTTATTTCGTAATGAGGCCACTTTGATTTTAGATTTTAGGCACATTTATGCTGACATGGCTGTGTTACATGTAAACTTTTAATTAAAAATACTTTAATGTTCCATTCTCTGTTTATCATTTAGCAAATTACAGGCCCAGTTTCAGAGCATGGAGGTTCGCAACAGCAGCTTTGCAGCCTTTATTGATGTGTTTACTTCGAATACTTATGCAATGGTCGTCATGTCGGATGTCGGAATTTGTAAGTATTCTGGATTTGTAATTTGTAAGGGGTTTTTTAAGGAGAAAATGCAGTTTTCGATGCATGACCCTTAGCATGTAACCGATGTTCAATGCCAAACACCAGTGTACTAGGCTACAAAATCGTTTGCGACGTAATGGAAACCTATTCCCAAAGATGCAATGCCCTGGGGGGCTTTATCTCTCTTTCGGGGAAGTACCCCATCCTCCAAAAAATCCCCCCTCCAATAAATTCCAATGAAGTTAAGAAAGCTAGTAAAACCCCTCCAATAAATTCCAATGAAGTTAAGAAAGCTAGTAAAACATTTAATCTGCAATAAAAAATATGAATTTTTCTTAGCGTAATGAAGTTGATGGAAATTCGTTATAAGACGCATAAACTTGCTCCTGAATCTCTAGTGCAACTTGCCATTTATACTTTTGGTTCTTGAAGCAAAATTTGTTAACTTGAAAGCTTTTAGCTGAATATCACGCTAGTTCGTTGACTCTTTCTCATTAGTTTTCGTGTGTAAAGAATTAAATTCTATATATTCGTTTAATTTCTCTAACAGCAAAGTCTAATAATTATTTCCCGGTGTTTGCTTGTTAATGAGCACTTTGAAAGCAATTTTCTTTCGTTTACCCGTATGATCATTGCGTGCCTTAATTAAAAAGGGTAAATTAAAGCGTTGTTCATATTGTTTATCTTGTAGCTTCAGCTGCCACATTGATCAACATCAAGAACGCCCGAAAGCATTTTGAACAACTCGAGCGAGTAGACAACCCCTCATTTGTTGCTAGATAGATATTCGCTCAATGTTATTATTATAAATATATTTCCAAATGTGTTGATTATAAGCTGTTGTAAAAACCGATATCTGTTAAATGGTCCGGTAACCGAAAGTGCAAACTTGTAGCTGCATTGTTGAGTTAGCTAGTCACGAACGTCTTTTCATAGTATAGAATTACCTCGTAAAAATGCTTTGAGATCAAAATTTTCAACATTGAAAGCGAATTCAAATTTAATCGCAAATGTTTAGTGATAAGATTTATCATTTCGTTCTAAAATTAGCTTTTTACAATTTAAGAAATCCCCTGCCCTTAATTATTTTCGAACAACCGCCACAGTACATAGGCTCATCAAATATTGTAAAAGTCTTCCTCAAGCTTATATGAAGGAACTTTAAAGATGTAATTCACAGGTTATAAATTTTGGACAAATCAACAGAGAAAATAGTAGCTTTCTTTTCTGTATTTGCCAGAAAACGATGCTGTCAGGAAATTTCTTAAATTCAGTACATATTAAGTAGGCTCATGCAATGAAGCTTATCAAAAAGTGGTGGAGGATAGTTTTCTAACAAAGTAGAATTCCATTTGCTGGAACGACATTAAACGAAACCGCTCCTTGCCTAATTTTGACAGCCAACTGCACTTAAAACTCTGAATCCCAATTCTATCATTATAATCTGGATCGTTTTGAATTCTATTTGCTTTTGCATCGAGATACTTCATTTATGACTCCTCAACTTGTAAGGGTCTCTCGTGTCTCAACCTGTCGCTCAACTTTTAAGTGTTTTTTTCGTATATTGGTCACGGCCAGATGTCACACTTATTTCGTGTGCGGGTTAAAGCTAAGCTCTCTAATTTTGCTATTATCGTAGTTTGTGGAACTTAGCAAATATTTCCTTGTATTGTCTTCGATTTGAATTTGATAATATGAAATAAACCACATTGACTTCTTTTTCTCTGTTATAACTCCCTAAAAAGCAAAGCTCGCGGATATGTACTGTAAGTTTTTTACTATACAGCACAAAAGGACACTGCTTCAGTGTAGCCTGCATGCAGACTCTACTGTTTTCAACTCAGCTCCTCTGTTTCCTTTTTTCGATCTTTCCGTTGAGTTTAGTTAAAAATTCATCGTCAAAGAAAATGCAAAATGAGTTTTTTCAAGCCTAAATGAAAAAGATGGATCATGTGCCAGAGACACTTACAGGCAAGCTGCAACCATTCGAACGATAACAGAAAAGGTAGCTTGTGAAACTAGAAAGACCCCATAAGCGGTGCTTTAAAGTACCAATGAAGAATAGAGTTCGTTGTTCCTGTTCTTTGTTTCCGTTATGGCGTGTATTCCTGTTGAGGGAAGAAAATAGTGCTTTTTATGTTTATTTCCAAGTTTAAGGCCAAGGCAAATATTCGGTAGGGCTTATATTCTGAAGCAAGTTTACGTGCCAGGAATAGGGGGCTTATTTTCGGGTGACTTTGTTTGGAGTTTTAACGTATACTTGTACTTAACTTTAACTCAATGACCTATCATCGTTTGTAGGAGCTTGTAGAAAATTTTGTAGAATCAACAATAGTCTGAAATAAAGAATGATTTCCTGAAAATTTTATCTGTCTTTATCATTTTTCAGGTCATTGCTTTTTTTTGAAGTGTCACCTAGTATTTTGAACTCAAATTCTCGTCTTTTTTGGCTCCACAATTTTTATCTTATTGTACAATTTTGCTTTTCATTTCAGAGCAGTGGGTTTCAATTGTACATAGGTAAATTCTATGACCCCATGGTACCTAATTTAGTATTAATGTAGCAAATAAGGAACACCGCAACGCGCCGAAAACAAAAAGCAACAAACACACGTGAAATAACTGTGACTAGTATTACGTCCCGGCATATAAGGCTTCATCAGAGCTAAAGTAAACAGACTAAAAAGTACACAAATTTAAAATAGGCGATGGTGGTGTCCGATTGATGGACGTGGAATGGTGTGAATGCAGTGCAGCGGAGGAGAAACAGTTAATGAAAGTAGAAGAGAAAGGATGGCGAGTGATGTGAAGGAGCGTTGGTGGTGGTTGAATGAAAGTTTTATGAGGATGGGCAGTGGTGAAATGATAAAAAGTGATTATAATATTCAATAATGATAATACTATCAATAGCAGTAATGATAGTAAGGTCATTGATGGTATTTTCTGGGTTGCAGAAGTGTTCTGCACCACCAGACTTGTCTACTTTTTTGTTGATAGTGTCTCGTCTGTGTAAGTTAAATCTGTCTTTCAGTCGTTTGCCTGTTTGTCCGATGTATTGGCAGTTCTTGTGTTCGTTAGTTAAACAGTGCTTGCACTGTAATGAGTAAATAACGTTTGTAGAGTTACAGTCCAGTCTTTTTTTATGTCATAGTTTTTGTCAGTGTTAGTTAAGTTAAATGTAGTATTACTGTTTGCGATATGTTGGCATATTACGTAGTTACGTCGCCAGTGGCATTTAGTATCAATTTTCCCTGCAAGAACATGGAAATGCTATCTGCCTCCCGATCAAAAAGGTGAACGATGTTTCTCCATTCTGGAAACGTCATTCCAGCCAAGTTTCTCCTTCGCGTAGGATAAGCAGGAACTTCTTCTGATTTAACTCCCATTTTACCCCCAAAACAGCGGCAAATCCCCGTTTACCATCACAATTCAATATCCCCAGTTGATAAAGAACTCGAAACTGGTAATCAGGAACTCGAAAATGTCCCTGTCCCAAAGTGGTACTCCCCTCCATTTCCGTCTGATCTAAAAAACTCTTCCTATCTAACCCAAAAAACTCTCACGTGGTCTATTGGGAAAGATGGTCTATTAGGTTTGCGATGATAGTGGGACGTGCAGGTTGCAAGGGCAGAATAAAATCGCTCCAATCCTTAAAACAAGATGAATTTGCGAGCGAATGAAACATGTCTTAATTGCATTTAACCATGTGTGATAATCCAATTAAACGATTTTCCTATCTTTGCTCTTATTAATAAGAAATTCATGAAATAAGAGCTTATTCTTATGAGCGCATCAGCGTAAGCATGACAACACCTGCAGCATTTGTGCGAGATTGTCTTGGGTTTTCGTCTTGTCTCATGCCATATAAATGACAATTATTGCAAGCAGATCATTTATTGCAGGTGGTTGGATGCGAAAACAACGCATCACATGGACGCATCTGGTATCACCAAAAGAAATATCGCAGCACCTCGTCTTTGAACCATGATCAGCAGCCTACAAATACGCTAGTGATGTCAAAGGAGTCATACCTTCACGCAGCAATATCAACCAAACTTATGATTGCTAATTTTTAGCCTTTTGTTATAGAATAGCACCATGTCTAATGAAATGACTATATGTTAGTCTATTCGAAGGCAAACAGAGTTCAGAAAACAGAAAGCCTCAAAGCTCGGAAGATCATCAAGCAAGACTGATGAAAATGCACTTGCGGAAGTGATTTTGCACACCCTCTTAAAGGTAAGGAGGTTTGCACTGATTTACTAATGATCTCTTCATCATCCACATCTTATCTTAATGCAACATTTCAGATTTAAAAGCGAGGTTTTCCTCAAAAGGAAGCAAGTAGCTTAGATAGAAGGGGCAACTTTTCAGTTGATTTACAATATTATGTTTCCAAGATTTCAATACTAAGCTTTGAGGCACATGCTAATAACTGCATGCAGGAAAGTATTCTCCTTGTTACAAAAATACACTCAAACTCTAAGAACCTTCCTTTGGACAGCAATGAAAAAAGAGTTTTGGCTTGGGTGTGACAACTAAATATCTGTTGTTTTAACTAGCTTTTCTAACGATCTTTGAATCTGTAACCGGCCTGTTTTCTTGGCTCTGTAAAGAAGCCTCTGATAACTAAACTACACACTGTTTTTTATAAGGAACCTACACGTAGAAGACCGAAATGTTCAAAGAACTTATACTACTAAAAACGAAATCCCTAAGGAACTTTTCCATTTGAAAAATTTTATAACTGCAAGCACCAAGAACTAAAAAGCAGGTTCCACCCATCTGCAGCCAGCACTCGCATAGATTGTTTGCTATTCGTGTGCCAAGTGCTACATCGAGTAGTTTCCGCATATGCCGTCTCGCCCCTCTCTCTCTATATTAAGTGTATCCGAAAGTGAGATTTTCACTATACATAGCCTCCTTTGTGTTTTTGCTCCTGAGTTCTAGCCAGTGAAAATTAAGGAACTATTAAGGAACTTTTGGTACTACAATTTGATGATTTGAGGTCTACGAATTAGGAACTTTTGAAACTAGGCCTTGGGGTAGTTTCCTTATAAAAAGCGTGTAAATCGTGTTCTATAAGCCATGCTTAGATGTATCACTCCAATGCACCATAAGGGCTGTGGTCATCTGTGTTTAGAGATAACAGGTATACAATACTGGAACTATACTCTAGATCTTATACAACTCTTGAGAAACAAAAGGTCTTGCATTTAGAGAAATCTTGACCTACGGAAGCCTTGGCACACGGCATAGAATATTTTATTTATGAGTTGTTTCTTTATGCTACTTTGATGAAAAATGGACCCCCATACACCAAAGCTGCACGGTAGAAAAACCGCTGATAATCTAAGGTGGTTTGATGGACTTTTAATCAGATCTGAGACTTCAGATTGTGGAAAAGAAAACAGTATCTTTCTGCTTCCATGAAATTCTTTGCGAAAAATACATTTGAAATGCTTTTTGAGAATATTTGCACAAGTTCTTTAGAAAAATGATTTTAAGATGTTAAAAATCAAATTTCTTTATTTTAGCTTCGCATAGATTGAAAACCCGAATCAATTTATAGAGAATTCAATAGTTCAATAAAAACAAAGAAACACATAGGTACTCATTTTTCAAGTGAACGCAACTTTCACACTTTTATAGATGTCTATTGTAAAGCCTGGTTTTCATAAATCGTAATTCATCGTAAAACTTATGAAACCGTATTGTCTTAAGCATCTGATACCATCGGCGATCATCGGGGATGGATTTTTAAATTCAAAATGTTTTGAATTTCGAGCTCGTCGGCAATGATCGCCGATGGATTACGATTTATGAAAACCAGGCTTAAGACAGTATCTGTCTTTTTTGAAATGTTCCCAAGCAAAATGGATCTGGATTCGAAACCGAAAGCAAGTCTGATCTTATCAACGTAGATTGTTACGTAAAGGAGGTTCTTAAACATTAAATGAGTCGGGCTATCCCTTCAAAAACCCCTTTTGCTAACAAGAACGATCAAGTTATAAGAAATCGCTAATGGATACCCCAGCGCAAGAAACCCCAACTCTGCTCTATTCTCCTTTAAAAAGATAGAAGCGAAAGAATATAAACTCCAAAACACGCTTCCTTAAGCATAAGCCAGCTTTTTGTTGAGCACAACAGAGGCGGATACAGAGTGAGTTCCTTGGTGCACAGAACTCAGTCAGTTTTCCAACATACAGCTAAAAATAGTGTTGCCTGAAACAAGTAATATTTGAAATAAAAATTTAAAACCGAAAAATTCTAAGTTTTATCACAGTCTCTTCAAAATCGTAAAATTGCCAGTTTCTTCTCTGTCGTGATTTGGAAACGATTTTCCAGACGCTGTGGAGGACAACAGCAGTCAATCCTGGAACTCGGAAATAAACGTTTTGTGCCTCGGAAGTGAATGAATTGAAACAATAAACTTTTCGTTCGGAACACGGATGGAACTCAGGCTATGTTCACATTGCTCCGTATTCATCTAGATTTAGTGAGTAGACAGTACCTACCCCCTCCCCCCCTTCAAGGGTACCAAAATGCATAAATATGAATAATAATGTTGTCTTATGCACAATGATCAATGCATTATCTAAAAGTCCCTAGCCTTGGCCTGGAACTCAGTCAGGCTTTTTGCTGGATCCGCCCCTACACAATTCTTGAGCAAATGAATTCTCAAAAGAAACAATATGATTTAACAGCTGTCCATGCAAAAATATCTAAATGGCAACTGAAACTAAGAGGCCTTCAAGATGTTCGGGAGTGATAAAAGTTATCGTCACGTCGAGAAGAATGAATGAAAATGAAAGTTGTATTCGGGATTTTCGGTCAAAGCCAGTTTTATTGCACAATGGTTTGCAGTTTTTTGCTTCACCACCAGAAAGGCACTGCACGCATTTTTTATAAGAAACAGGTTATAAAAAACAGGTTATAAGAAACGGTAGGCTCAATCAACCCTACCCACGTTAAAAAAGCTAAGAAACTTTTATAATTTGCAGTTTTATTTTTCCGAGTTGACACTCGAAACAGTCTTGACATTGAACATCACTGTATCTGTCTGAACGTCACTACACTGGAAATGCAGTTTGCATTCCCCATTCCATTCTCAGTAAATTACACATTCAAGAAGCTTCCATTTAAAAATTTGTTTTGACTTCAACTTGACATTGATGAAGCTCAATGAACTTTACTGATTACAGATCCTAAAAGAGTTAGTCATTCTAGGAAAACAAAATTTTTTGATCACTTTGATCGTTTATCTTTGAATTTGAATGAACTTATTACTTTACCTTGGAAGCACGTTTAAAAAATTCATTACTTTAGAAATTTGAGAAACATGTAAGAAATATTTGATAGCAATATCGCCAGAAAATTTAAGAAACTGCCTATCAGCACCAGACCTTAGTTTCTTATAAAAAAATACGTGTAGTAGAGATCACGTTTCCAGAATGTGGATTTCAGCTGTAGCTACCAAAAATTTTTGCCAGGAGAACTGTATTTGCCTGAGACATGGTACGCCTTAGAAGCGGTAGATATCTATATACAGCTGTCTAGTTGCATCAAGGCTGTTCACACTTCTTTTACAAGAACAAGAAACATCAGGCTGAGATTTGCCCAAAAAATTTGAACGACATAAGAAACAAGGCAGGCTGAAATTCAACCAAATTAAAGAAATCAAATACCTGCAAAAATTGAAAAATAAAAAGTAGCAACAGAACAACAAAAAGCTATAAAAAATAGCATTAAAACAGCAGTTACAATAAAAAAAACCTAATCAATATTGACCTCGTTATATCAAATATATTCTTTGCTGAAGAAAAGACTGGAGGGATAAGTGCAACATTCCGTACAGAGACATCAATTATTTCACCAAACACATAGTCACAGAAAATCTATTAGGCACAAAAATTTTGATTTCAAAAATAAGAGACAAATTAAAAAACACGTTAGGCTGAAATTATGCGAAAAAATAAGAAACGCCAGGCCAAGGATCGCGGAGCATATTACAGATTGAAGGGACCAAAACGTCTTTTGGGGGGGTGTTGGTTAAACGTGCTAAAAACGGAGAGCAAGGTAACATTTTGTATTGTTTTAAGTACATTATGGATATTATTGGGGGGCTAAAGCCCCCCCCTGCTTGCGAGATCCCTGCGCCAGGCTGATAATGGAGCCAGGTGTTCTTATAAACAAGTGTGCATCGAAAACATTTTCTGAGCTTGTTGTGTCCCGTTGTTTTCAAGCTTGGCCTGGACTGAAAAGACTGCAGGTAATGAGCCTTACGAGCTACGTCGATTTCCGCAGCCTCTTGAGCATATTCTCCGCGATGATTCGATGTTCCCGTAATACCTTGAAGCAGAAAACTTAGTCCTAGAATAAACATACCTGTTGTTTTTGTGGAGGCAAGAATATACCAAATAGTTCTGGCATCGTCGATTAGTGTGGTTTCCGTGTGGTGAGCTATTCTTGGAAGTATTTATTACCTCGTTTCCTAACAGTAGTGTTGTCTTACTGTTCATTGTGTTAAAGGCAAATTGAGGCCTAGTTTTTTATTAAGTGTATTCAGTTTTATCCAGGGGTGTAGTGCAACCAAAATAACAAGATAAGCTCTTGCGCAAATGTTGCAAAAAAATACCAGAAGTAGAAATTAGCTGCATTTCAGTAGTAGAAAATGGGGCTCAGCCCCCTCTAAGCGGTTTCGGTAGAGTTTTGTAAACGTAACCAAACAAACAATTATCCCTGGCATATAATAATATTTCTATTTCTCTTATATTTAAATCAACACCATTAACCCTACAAAATTGTTTGCGGTTAGATAAGTAAGACCTAAACCAAGACTCCTCTCGCTGTTGAACCCCATAAAGTTCGAGCTTTTTACAGAGAACATCATGGTTGACCTATCAAATGCTTTTTTCAGGTCAATAAATACCAATCCCACGAGCTTACCGAGATCGAGCCCGTTGTACCAGTCATCAGTTCCCAATATAGGGCAAAGCAAGCTTAAAAAAGTAACTAGAGATATTGTCGATCCCAAAGCCCTTGGTTGTTTTAACCTTGGCAAATGCATCCCTAATATCGTTCAGCTCAATTATCTTGAATTGAAGTTAAACTTACCCTTATCTTTGCTAACTTATCATTCACCTGTTAGAAGGGGATTAGCGGCAGGTTGTACTTTATCTGCTAGATCCCCTCCTATAGTGCAAAAGAAATTGTTCATTGCATTAGAAACATCCTTTTTGTTTCGAGTTTCTGTACCAGATTCTATGAGACAATCATTGTTCCTTGATTTTGTTCTCTTGTTGAGAAGTTCATTAATTGCTTTCCAAGATTCTTTCATATTACCTTTACATACAGATATCCTATTGGTATAATGCTGCTTCTTCAACCGAACATCAAGGGCATTGACTTGATTTCTTGGCAAGATCACAATTTGTGTCTCTGAGGAGAATGATTTCTTCGCCCTCCTTGTCAAGGAAAGCAAGAGCTTTTTCCAGCTTATTAAAGGAACCAACTGGTCACTTGGTGGTCTGTACCAAGCAGCAACAAGAAAGGCTTTGCTTTTGGGGAGTTCTAGCCACACAGAGAAGTTCTAGTCCCTCAGCAGACACATCGACCCTGGGTGTCATTTTCATTAAGTCTCTTACATATAGTGAGACACCACCTCCGTAACAGGTCCTGTCAAGACGCTGTTGATGATATCCTGAAATTTCAGTCAGCTCTTTTGGAATAGAACCATCGAGCTTAGTTTCATTTAGGGCAAGAATATAAATCCCCTTGTCATTTAAAAGAAAATTAAATCCCCACGTGCAACCAAGCCTGAAATTATCACCTCGATGTTGTTTTCTTTTATTTCATTGGCCAATTAGATTATATCTTGCGCGATTTGCACCTCTGACTTTTCTTCATCACCTCTCCTCGAAGACAGGTCATTGGTGCCAACATGTAAAACGATGATATTTGGTTTCTTTTCGATTGTCGGTATGGTGTAACTATGCATATCTGTAATCGTTGCACCGTTAAACGTATATTGGACTTAATGCATGTGCTCCATAAGCAACTGGCTTGAATTGTCCATCTTGTTGTTTTTGAGTAAGGATTGCTCCTAGTCCTAATGGTGAAGCGTCTACGATGACTTTTGTATCTGCATGAGGCTGGTAATAAGCCATTGTGTTTGCATTTGTAAGGCTTTCCTTTAACTTTGTGAAACTTGCTTGCTGTTCCTTGTTCCACGCTAATGTAGTTTCCTTTCTGTTGAGTTTCCTCAGAGGCTCGTGTGGCATAGTCTTTGATAAAGTGTGAACAAAAGTTTACTAGACCTAGGAAACTTCTTACTTCTGTTGCACTTGTTGGAACTTTGCCATTTTTGACTGCGTCCACTTTGGTTTGATCTAGATAAATTCCTTTGTCTGTTAGATAATATCCTGCAAATGTGAGCTTTGTTGTTCCCAATAAACATTTCTTTGGGTTTATCTTTAAGTTTCTGGCATGCAATGCTTTGAGTAGCGTGTCAAGACGCTCTGCCATTTCACCTCTACTCGATGACCATATCAGAATGTCATCCGATATTGACCTTGTACCTGGGCAACCCGTGATGCTTTGCTCAATGACCTTCTGAAACTGATCAAAGGCTGAACTTACCCCGTACAGAAGACGTCTTGCTTGGAAACAACCTTCATAGAAAAAGATAAAGATACCATAAAGATACAAAGTTAGTTAAAAGTTAGATCATTCTCAGTAAGCACGATTAATTATGAAGAACAGAATAGTCTTAAATTTCTGTATACTCAATAGCCTTTGTTCGTTGACTACGCCTACTACTCAGCTCACTTGAACGTATCTCAGAGCAACAGAAAAAGAAGTCAAAGCTAAATGCAGGGTTAAAAGTAGGAAATAGATATGTATAGCAGCAGAGTCACTAGAGCACATCCTTGTGGTGCCGCTTTCTGTCACGAGAATACGAGAATACATCTCTGCCTCACAGATATATTTCAGACTGATTTTAGCATTGCAAAAATGCGCGATGTAAGGTTCTCTATCCAACAAAATGCAAATTTACTATCAATTTAGAAATGCATTTTATATGAACAAAAATAAGACGCTGAAAGGCGAAAAATTGCACAACAGTGTAGCTTAGACTTTTGCGTGTACAAAGCAACAATCTTGGTCGAGTGAAACTCGGATTAAGGCCATATATCTCATGATAGATAAGGGCAAATCGTATAGTGGCCTATTTTTGGTATCCAAGTTTTGATCGACTTTATACACATTTTTTAAAAATTTCCTTTTTTCAACCGAAGTACCTAAAATCACTCGTCAGTATCTCCAAGACCAAACCCATCAGCAATGCTGAATCAATAGATAACTGAACAACTTTGAATGCTAGCTCACCTGTATGTTTGTTTGCTTTACAACGTTTCTAAATTCCTTTCTTTGCTATCTCCATAGTCTTAAGTGTGTTTAAATTTCCACCTAGCAAGCACTTAACTCCTTTAGATAAAAATATTTTTGGTAAACAACTATTTATTTATAAGAAAACACATTCCTTGCTATTAACAAAATTGTATACCAACCGTATCAAACAAGGGCAAAATCATTGCCAAATAGACACTTCCAAATAGACATTTCGTAATAAAATCTCCATAATGAATGTTATAAACACAATTAAAGGGCATGTGTCGTTAACATGATTGGCTAATGCAATACAATTATCTCTTTTGTTTAGTATAAAGCATGGAATCGAAGGTGAATTTTTACGGCAGTAAAAATTAATTAAGAAGAAATGAAAAGTCACGAAACAATGGATTTCCACTCCAAACGCTTTTGTTTTATTAGCCAACTGCTAATGCGACATATGCTCTTTAATTGTTGATATGCATAGTACTGAAATCGAGTTTCAAGGATGCACTGACATAAACCAATCACTGAAGTTTTTTATTCACAAAAGGAAGTAGACTTTCAATGTTTTCTTCCATGCCTTTCTCTATGAAATCATTTGTGGAATAATCTTCTTGCATTTGTTGCCGAGTAGCAGCAGATAGGTTTTTGAAAGGAATGAACCCGAGCTAGAATGGTTGCAGTAGTATGTTATGTTCTGGATTGGATCATTGCCTGCATATGATTATGTAGTTTGATAGCACATACTGACAATCTAGCAAGGAAAGCAAATATCTATTTCCTCCTATTTAGCTTTGACAAAGATGAAAAATTTTCAAAAAGTGTTGTGTTTGTACAGCTTCTTGTTTAAAAAGGCAATTACCTTCAACAATCATGAAACCAGCCGTCAATTTCTAACTAAAGGTGAAGAGTGACTTCCCCATTCAAAGAAAGCTGTTACTTCATTGTGACCTGTATGAAATGAATTTGCGTTGATAAAAAAGACCCTTAAACGATAGTTTTTCAAAAAGGATCTAGTTTTCACCGTTGTTATGTCAATTAAAACAAACAACGTAAAACAGAATAAATCTACTGTCCCTCTCACTGCATGAAAAGGAAGAAAGCGAGCGAAGTCCTAAATCAGTGTCACTTTTTAACTTTCAAGAAAAAACCTACTCAGTATGCAAACAAATTCCTTACAAAGCTCTGTCAATAAGGGATGACAATAAAACGCCAATCTATGAGATTACAATTCGTCGATTATCCATAAACTAGTATCAGAATAATTAGAATCTCTTAACTGCAAGGGGGAACAAACTCTAGAAAATCTATTAAAAATACGTTGCCACTGAAAAGAAGCTCTTAAGCATTTTTGGAATAAATGACGTTTGGATTGTTGGGCGAAAACCACGAGGTTTATTGATATTCGGTAGGTGTTTTATACTTTTTGTAAAGTCGTTTCAAACGCTGTCATGCAGAATGTCCTGAGCCCCCTATCCTTGACAAAGAATTCACCGTACCGTCGGTTTTCTTTGATAATTTAAATCCAGTGTAAAGGGCTAAGCAAGGTAACTGAATCTGGGAATATTCAATTGGAATCAATAGTGCTTTCAAAATGATCAAAATGCAGTAGGTCATTTATAAAGAGGCCCAGCCCGAGTCGTCTAGTGAACTAGGGATTCATCACCATTTTACATTTCTACTAAACGTTTCTGCAGGTTTCTTGCAATTTTACAGCTATCAAGGATTTAGTGCCTGTTTACATGGAGGCGAGTTTCCCGGCTAACCGGCTATAACCTACTTCTTTTGATTAACACAAGGCTTCGAAACAAATTCTTCAAAATAAGCGTCTTATTTCCATGTGGTAATGAACACAACCTTTGATAAATCGCACTACTTAAATAAGATACCGCACAGTAGACTGAGCTTTAATCTGCTAAAGATAGAGAATGTCCAATGTTGATAAACGCGTTTTTTAAAGGGATCATTCAGGATGAGTTGTTGCTGAATAATGCTATTTTTTCCAATGAATATTTGCGTGCTTCTGCATCGTCAACACAGTCGTATTTTGTTTACTCAGCTTAGGTCTCACAAACATTGTAAGTATTTAGCCGAAAACCAGTAAGCTGTGCCAATCTGATAGTGGTGTGGTGACGGTGCTAGAGGAGATCAGTCACGTCTTTGCTGGAGATATGTCTCGTGATGACATTCAGCACAATGAATGAACGACGGTCTACTCCGAAAGAAAAGCCGATTCTGTAATTGGCCAAAAGCAGACTTAGAATTGTATAAAATAGGACTGTTGAAGACTTTGAGAGTTGGTTGGTGAGTTGCTCTTTATTGGACTAAGTGAATTGGCAAAAATTGACGGGTTTCAATAGATCAATAGATGACCCAAAAACCTGACCTGTGTCAGAAGGCAAACATTTGTTTATTCTCATTATACTTATAACATAACAATAAATCGAATTACTAGATAGTCTGGTATAGCAAAGGTTCAACAGTATTGGCGGATATTGAATAGAAAATCGATGTTGCCTTACACGGAAGCATTTTAGTTCAATTAAAGATTCGAATTTATTTCTTATCAACCAGGATGTGAGCTTTTGCATCTGCCAATTTCCTTGTAAAAATGCTCGAGGGTCCAAGCAGCTTAGAAGCCTTTAGGAATCGAAATATTTGAAGATAAAGCTCATCCTATTTTTGATCTAGAATGAAAAGTCTTGAGAACATGATAAAGTCAAGCCTAGTTAGACAAATCTTTCTAGGCCCCTCCTCTCGTAAGAATCCTTCAAATATCCTTGTAATGGCAAATATTCTTATCAAGAGTAAAGATTGAAAATTTCAAGGTCTAAATTCAAATCCAAACGAATTGATTCCAGAAAAATTTCTTGAGCACTCATAATACCTGACTTGATATTGAACAACACTTGATATTGAACACAAATGTCGGATAAGACAGCACTTTATACTTTTGGATGACAAGAGAGATCGCTTATGAACTTAGCCATACTTAATCACAGATTTGTCCAAGTAGCCTTTTTTTAGGCCGCTCAAGAAGGGCATTTGCTTCATAATATTTTCAGTTACTGGTTGTAATTATGACGCAACGTATAACGAAAAATTGAATGAATTTGAGACATGATATTCTTCAAGTAATTGCAAAACATGTTCAAATACTTGCAAAGCAACGAAGACATGGAGAGCCGCAATATCAGTTAACGATTTTCAACTTCGGTATGTGACGCAAACACATCAAGTGACGTGGCGTTTGTAAACGTTTTAAATTTGGATTGTCTTTTAGCTTACTTTAAATGCATAGCTAAGGTATCAATGAGTCATAATTCTAATATCCAAGCAATGTAGCGGTTTGCAACTTCTTTTGTTAATGCTCTAAGGTACATTTTACTGTAAACATCTGGAGATCACGAAAAAACTTGATATATAGGTTGATGTGATTTGATAAGCACGTTACATCACTTTTCTCTATGTTGATGTGCATTCTCTGTTGAGAAAAATGTCTACATAGAAATTTTACCCTGGTGTCTTCAATGTTGTCGTCAAAGTAGCCTTTGCTTTTGATCTAGCCAAACCTTCTTTTGTAAATTGAAGCACTATAAAACTGCTAACGGGACTGTTTTGATATCATTAAGTTCTACTATTAACAAATGCTATCTTTATGCATTGCAGATCCTCAAAATGGAAGGAAATTTCAACTCAACGGTAACAGTTACACAAAGAAGTATCACTGCTTCTCCAAATAACACTCATAGTCCTTCTACGCTAACTATTACAAACTTCACTGTCTGCATTAACTGCACAGGTCGACCCAAGAACATCATGATTGCTACCCAAGAAGGCTACGATTACTTCAATATCATCCTACTGCTAATGCTTGCGTTGATTTTCGTAATCGGTACAGTTGGGAATTCGGTCGTTTGCTATGTCTTCGGCTTCAAACAACGCAAAAGAAGATCTGTTCCTGAAACGTTGTTTCTTTATTTAGGAGCAATTGACCTTACTTCTTCCATAATCAACCCATGCCTATATGTGTACTGGACAGTGACAAAGTATTCAAGATGGGACTTTGGCATTGTAGGCTGCAAGCTTCTGGCACCTTTGGCACCAGTATCAGTCACTCTCTCAGCTCTGATTATACTCATTATTGCAATAGATAGATACACAATTATATGTGGTCAATTCGGTCGCAGCTACAGTCGAAATAGAATCCACTGCGCAGTACTATTTGCCGCCGTCTTTTCGATTTGCATATTCCTACCCTATATCATCCTATTGGAAGTTAGCAGCACGTGCAGTGTGCAAAAAACTGGTGCGCCTGAATATGCCTATTCCATGATATCTGCACTGCTTTTTCAGGACGTGAGTTTCATTGCAGTCTTGGCATTCACAAACTTAAGGACATTTAGTCGCTTACGCCGTCGGAGCAGCCTTGCCATGGAGCGCACTGTTGAATCGAGGCGACTTCGATCACACAAACGAGTTGCAAGGATACTCTTGGCTATGAGCCTGGTGTTTTGTTTGCTTGTGCTACCACGTGATTTGGTGCAGCTTACTTACATTATATCATGGTTGGATCCTCCAGGAGTAAGCTACACACAAGCACTGCTCCGCATCAACGCCTTTCTAAAAGTCTTGCAAACGTCCAACAGTTGTGTCAACGTGTTCATTTACTCCAAAATGCATACAAAATTTCGAGTACACCTATTCCGGCTATATTACAAGGCGTTTGGTCGGAGAGGTCTTTTTGCAGAAAAATTTGGCGTGAATGTGGTCAATGAAGAAATGACACCGATGACTCGAAGAAGAATCCTAAAGTTCAATGAAGGAATCGGGACACCTTCGGACACGCCGGTATTACAGAGAAAGAATGTCAAGCGAGAGAAGATTCAGGACAGGGAAGGAGCCAATCCACTTCTAGTAAACCACATAATATCAAACAAGGCTCAATTTCAAAGTGACGTGCAGACCTGTTCATTGTAAGACTTTATAGGCCAGGACAGCCTCTCTTTCATCCTGTTTAAAAGCGAGTCCAGCCTCAAAGCCATAAACTTATTTTAAACATATTTTGAAGAAATTTAAGAAATAGAAAATAACAATTTACCATGCTGGGCATCGTCTATCTTTATCATATCTATAATTCTAGGGGCTCTGACAATTGCTCAGTCATTTTTTATTGAGGACCGTGGTAGGATACATAAGATTATAAGATGCTTGCTATACCTTCGTAAATAAAGTGAGGAAGATAAGATGAAGGGTCTCTTGTTAAGTCACCCTCACTAGGAAATCCATTGAAACCTTGATTGGAAGCGTCTGCGTCTATGCATCATATTGCTAATTCTGTTGTTGACAATTGTTTTATTTAACATCGTTGTATCAAAGGTTCTTGTACTTGCTAAATGCAATACCTCAAAGGTCATCCGCAAGATTCATATCACAGAATGTGTGACTTCATAAGACATACTTATCAGATTTGCTAACGAAGCATGTCTTATTCTCTATGGAAGTTGTCGTACATCATTCATTCAGACTCAATCGCCTGACCTTGTCGCAGAAATCGATACAATTAGAAAATTTCTTTATCATATTAATTAAAAGAAGCGGTATGCTATTATGAATTATGAGATTATGTGAGATTATATTATTAAATATTTCTTTAGTCAATTCATGCTAGAGTTGTTCGTAATCGCGTTTGTTAATATTTATTCATAACAAAGATTAGAATGACTACTGTATGTACTCATGATCTTTTTCGTGACTCTTAGACCTTTGATTTGTGCGTTAACATTGTAGCAAGAAATAATTCCCTTGAAAGACTTACGTCAAACGTATTGCTTATCACAATGGGGTTTCAGTCGATTTTGGGTCACATGTTTTCAAGCACTAGAAACAAACTTCAGTTTCACATCCTTTGTCAGATATAATTGGGTACAGCTGGTACACAACGTTTTTAGAAAAGCATTACGTCATAGTTAATGCTTTGAGGACAAATATGGTTTGATTACAGATTGCACGTCACCAGAAACCACAATATTACAAGAACCATTTGGCAGTTGAATACCTCTTAAAGGATTTCTGGAAACTCCTTTATATCGGTTAAAGGTATTATATGATAAGAGGTTTGCAGAAAAACGTCACCCTGACTCATACCACCTGAAGTCAACTTATATGCTTGTTATTTTCAACATTAGACCTCAACTTTGTGTGAGTAAGTTTTCCACGTCACTATGTCAGTAGAACCAAACAAAGAGAGATTAAATACTGATGTTTACTTCGTCGATTGTCTCTTTCATGAACTATTCTCTGTCAAATTTTTAAATGGCCTTTTTTATAAACAGTTTCAAGCCCTTTCTTGCTTCCTGATTAGCCCTCCTATCTATTTGAAGGAAATAACAACTTTAAAATTATTTCTTGAAAAGTCTCACTATTTTAAAGAAAAACAATTGCCACTTGATCTGAAAAGATGCATAATTCACTCGTTAATCATTTTTTGCCACGTTAATCAAAGTTAAATTAAATTGTGTTTTGTCCTAATTCACTTTGGTAAAGGCATTTTTTATTACCTAGGATGAAACGCTTGGTTTATTGGACATTCTTTTTTTTATATAAGTCTAGCCTTCACACTGTAACAAAAGTTTCTCATTTGTTAATATACAAACGGGGCAATTTTTGGCTTTAGTTGGCAAAGCAACCAAGCCTTCAAAGCTTTTTTAAGAGCATTTCAGCTTTAAAAACTTAAGAAATTATTCTACTGGACAGTATTTAACTTTATGTATTGAGTTAGATCATGAACGGTACATTTCTATTATTTTCAGAATACGGGACGTAGGCAATAGAATCATTGCAAAGTAATCTGCACTGGTGGCCAGCGTGATCATGATGATCAGCCAAATAACTAGTACGGTGACAAGAAAGACATCGTGAAAGGAGTATTTCAAGTTCTATTGACGTGAATCCTTTTGATAAAATCCATAATATTAACATATTAGCTAAGACATGTAGTTTAGACAAAAATTTCAGCGAAATTACAGTAATTTGACATTCCGATTGAGACAGTCAATGTATTTTAGACAAAATTCACGAAAACTGTGTCTGAAGTTTATTTTTATAAACAGATCATAAGAGCAGTTTAAGGCAGTTCCTGCTTTGCATATATGGCGCCACCTCTGGATGTAATCTGGGAAATTAGTGGTTATCGGGTTGAACTTAGACACTAAAAAAAGACAAAATAACCAAATTGAACGTAACACAACTTTTTTTACAACAAAAATAATTGTCAACATCATATATAATATCAACTAACGAACACAAAATTTGCAAGCAAATGTTTATTTATCATACTGTATGTTTTTACTTAACAAAGTCTTTAATTGAATCTTTAATTGACTGTTTTCTTTTGTTGTTTACACGAATAACTGGGCTATAAAGAAGCTCGAAGCTGTAAAAAGCTAACTAGATTGTCAAGTGTCAAAGTGTTTGAAATAAATATTTGAACAAATATTCATTTTTCTCAGTTTTTTGCTCGCTGGCTCCTAACTTTTTGTACTGTCCGCTAATTGTAAATAAAACAAACCAAATTGACTATTTTGCGTAAAAAATGATTTCCGATAATTAGTGTGTCCACTAATTAAGTGTCCGCTTTTTAAAAAGTCTTTCATGAGACTTTAACCAGAAAACAATCGATCAAAAAATTTTTTCCGCTAATCAGAGGTGTCCGCCTTTTAGAGTGTCCGTTAATTGGAGAGAATACTGTAGATAATTGCATATCCCCCGGTAAATCCTTTCCTTATCTTTAAGATATAGCTCCAAGTGACAGTGCTACTATCACTGTCAATCATCCAAAGTTAATGATTTTATTGCTTTCAGGCTTATGCTCTAGCTTTAGCTTTATACACATTAAAGTTGTCTTTTCTCTATCAGCTTGACAACAATTTAGGAAATCAAAAATATAAGACACACTTTTAAAGGTATTAGAATCTACGTAAGTAACATAATTCTTTTCCTCCTTCTAAAACTGATTGTCTAAACGTAGGAATGGCTCTGGTATAGGTAAAATAATATGAACACGACTTCAGGAAAACAATAACTTTACATTTTCTTGGACCAAAAAGGGCTTGACTTCTTTCAATGCGATATTCCTGACAAATAGTCAATATTTTGTGGAAACATTAAAGCTTATTCTAGCTGTAAAAGTCGCAATATTACGGTTTGGAATTGAACACACCTTGCATTTGACAGTAGCAGATACTAACTCAATCAACACAGCGGTCCAGTAGCAAATCCTTTTCTTCTCCGTAACTTAATATAATGTTATGAGCCACTAACATGACGTCCACATGTCCATAATTTGATAACTTTAGATCTTATCGCAGGATGAAAAGATAGAAAATAATTGGGTTGACCAAAGAGTTTGCAGCATAAAGAGTCAACACACAGCAAAATACGTGATCAAAGGCACGCTCTTTGTATTTAAGAAGGACCATTATGCTTCTGATAAATATAGGAAAAAAGCAGACAAGGTAAGAAATTATAATTAAGCCACCAACAAATAGAAGATTTTTGTCCTTTTTGCTAATTCTGTGATTCCCGAATCGTTCAGCTTCTGCTTCGATTTGGCGGCGAATGCTTCGCGAACGTAATTGTATCTTTGTGTAACAAAATGTGATGACAGGTGAAGTAAAGGATAGACATGATACAGTTGATGTCGATGAATAAGTATTGCTTTTAATGAAGGAAATTAAACAGGTAGATCCTATTGGAGGGGATCATGTGCCAAATATTATGATGGCCAGTATATATGAAGTTTTCCGCAAGCTTTGTACAAAGGGATGGAAAACCTTTATGTATCTCTCTAGGGCAGTAGTTGTAATGGACAGTAGAGAGACTAATCCGAGCATCAACATGTTATATGGCTCTGTTCGTTCATTTAATTTTAAAATTGAAATGGTTACCGACCATGACGATGTAAGCGACCCTGCAAGTGTAAGTGCTTGTTGTATGCGAGAAGACGTTAGTTTGTACTGTTGCATAAACATTACACATGAGCACCTTATCCAGATTGTCGTGTCTAAGCTTTATACACAACTGACTTCTGCTTAGAGAGGAACGGTCCTTAAGGATATCTTCCTTTATCTGGATCTCTAAGTGTTAATCAAACTTTTCTAAGGTATCGTAAAATGTTCTTTTTGAAACAATTTCAGCAATCATGAAGATGTAGTTGATTCTCCAAAATTAAAGACCAGTGAGTCAAACGGTAAATACCGCAAATTTCGATAAACATGGCAAACGTTCAAGTGTGCAAAAATATCTCCAGCCTGCCCGATGAAACAATAACGTTGATATGTGGTTAGACATTTACAAAACTCTTTTATGTTGTGTATGGTATTTGCTGATTCGGCTACAGTCACGATCTTTCTTTTTGCAATAACATATAATGTTTGCCTCCTATAAACAAAAGGGGATTATGTCCCGAAGAATTTTCAATGCATCTTTAGGAATTGCAAAAGGCCCTTATAAAAAAATAATTATTTGGGAAAATTTAAATGAAAAAGGAAAGATGATAACAGAAAACTTTCATTTTTACTGAAATATTGTTTGTAGTGATATAAGTGATAGGATTATTAATCTTTGGAGTAATCTTGAACATTTTCAACATCAATTCAACATGATTTGAATTGGTGCCCAACGTGGGATTACGCGATTTTTAAAATGACTAGCATATAGAAGACTCAACCGGCATTCATACCTTCATCTATGTTTTGCAAAAGCACTTAATTTGATGCGTTTAGACTGAAAATTTTGGTTTATTAATTCCCTTCAGCCTCATTTCTGCGAATGCTCGATGAAAGATTATGCAAGGAGAACAATCGCCTGGTAGAATCAACAACATTCAAGAGGACATTTGTTTTTGTAATTTTCTTGAAAAATCTGACGACTGCTCGGGCGATAATGGCGGTAGTCTGGGTCCGCCACTGCAGCGTAAGCAGCGGCGTAACTACCTTTTTGCTTTGAAAGGGATGTCAAAGTTTTGCCGATATTTTGGGAATTACCCGACGAAGATCCTTTAAACATGAATTCGAGGTATTCGGATAGATACTTGATAGAAATGCTCCGGAAATTGGGAGCAAATTTTGGGTGAGACAAATCAAAGCTTAAAGAGCCCGCTGCAGTGACATATGACTGCAAATTAGCCCTAAAAAGTGTCAATAAAATTTGTGATCGATGAATTGTCAATGCAGCCCTGAATCATTAATTAATCAATCAAACAAAAACTTGCTCAACATTTAAAGATTTTAAGGTGAAGTCACTTTAAAAAGGGCGCTTATACCCAGTAGTAACAATACACTTCCAGCTTTCCATTTATCAGTCTATTTTCGTAAATCTGTGAAAATGTCTTATTTTCCTCATCTACATACATTGAAAAAGCCCTTAGCATGTAGCTCACATGCGCTTTAAAATCCTTGATTGCCGGGTTTATTCGCCATTTCGAACTAAGCTTGGTTCACCGTTCTGTATAGACTAATGGCATATTGCTTATATGTACTGTATATCATTGAAATGAACCCTCTGGCAGGCACCACGGAGCGTTGAGCGTTGAGAATAGTGGGGGGTCTAAAAATGTGAGGGGGGGCTAAAACCAAACAAAAAGTGCCTTGAATGGTAATTCATTGGTTAATTTTTATATTTTTGGCAAAGTGGGGAGGGGCTAAGCCCCCAGCCCCCAGCCCCCAGCCCCCATGCTCCGCGGTGCCTTTCTGTTTTCCAAATTTTTGGCAAAAATTGCATCGCAAAGAGGTGAAAGGAATATTTTCAGCACGGTACTCCATCACTAGACCAATCTTATCAAATATTTTTCTTTCTCTTTCAAAGAGATTTCCGATATCAAAAGATGCATGAACTAGAACCGAAATTACTATCCGTAAATCCATTATTCACAGAAAACGTAATGAATTATAAATGCTATGTAAATACAGTCATGACAATTACAGTCAATCCTCCGTCACAAAGGTGTGGTTTTTTATCGCAAAAAATGTCTCAAAAGTAGAATGAAGCAAAGAATGGTTGTTAAAGGGGGCTAAGCCCTGTACCCCCCTCTAAGCTCTAGTTCTACACCCCGGTTCCCCTAGCAGTTGCAGAACATTATAAAGCACATATATTCGAAGTTTCTTACCCTCATATGAGTTTTCCTGTCTAATAAAGGTTTTCCTTTTTAATGCGTTTTGTAACTAACTACTGTGGTTTATTTCTTGCTGATTTTATTATTCCCTTAAAATAAAAAATGATTAAGATTCGGAAGATATGCTGAAAGGAGCAGACAACTAAAAAAGATTTCAAGAGCACATTTTTATGATAAGTATTCCTTGTATTGTTTGAGTAAGACTAAAAAAATACACAACATTGCGAAAAAAGAACTTTCTCTTTCCGTATCAGCGTCTAGCGTAACTGGGCAGGAAATAACCTCATGATCAGAATGGTTTCTAAGATACAACAAAAATGGTAAACTATGAAATGGCCTGAAGGTGACACGAAGAAATTAACATAAGAGTCATCATTGCTAAGAATGCCTTGTATGTCCTTAATTTTCCGTATTTTGATATTTCATTTACTCTTAGTACCAGGTACTCAATATATCCTATGGCGTAACGATTATTTAGAAATGTGTTGCTAAAAATCAATTGTATTCTCGCGAATTGCGATTAGGCCAGAACAGAAGTTGTGTTTACACCTAAAGTTGTCATTAAAATATCTTAATTTTAACTGAAACCTCTGGTGTTCAAGGAAATTTTACAATTTTTCTCTCAAGGATTGTGTAATACAATGTTTCTGTATTACACATCATCTTAAATTTGTCCTGTAAATCAACGAATAGATAGATTATGTTCTGTCTGTAATTGGTTTGCTCTTTGCTATACCGCAACTATATTAGTAGCTAACAAAGTTCTCAATTGTGATATAACCTAGATTTCATTGGTAAGGCATCACATAGGCACGGATCAATTCTGTTGATTACTCCTTTGTTTTCTTCAAAATTTTAGCTAAAAAAGTCCAGTACAGCAGTGTACATGAAGCTGTAAAACATGGAGACACTGTCCAGATGCAGGAAATGTTTCAAGACGGTGCAAGCCTAAATGAGTGTGACCCAAAGTTCAAATTCACACCCTTGCACTGGGCTTCTCATCATGGTTCCCTAGAGGTATGGCTTTTTTATTGCTTATTTACAGGCTAGATTTAGCACCAACATAATAGGCCCTGAAAAAATGGTTCTTTATCAAGCTTGAGCTCGTTCACACTCCTTTTATTCCTCTCCTCAAAAACTGAAGGTAGTGTTCACATAATGCGCACAATATAAAGCTGCCTTATTCGCCTGTGTTTAAGATTTTCCATATTTTTATATTTGCTTAGCTTCAAAGCCAAAATCATCTAGGAGCTTGATCAAGTGCCCAGTTGAAGTTAGAGGGTTGATCAACCAAGTATCTGAGTTTTGAAAATTCTACTGCCTGCATTACAAGTGTTTTTGTAATTTTGAGGTTCTCTTGAGTATGGATAATTCTGGATACATTTTTTATCCTACCTTGTTTTTTGCACTTATAAATAAAAACTTGTCAGTGGTTTTTGCTTTTTTGGATATATAGCTACATCTAAGGTTGTCACTTTGTCCTATTCCAGTGCCTACATTGGCTGTTATGGCATGGTGCAGATTACTCGGAAGTAACTCCAGAGCAATGGACTGCAGCACATATAGCTGCAATAAGAGGGCAGGATGCTTGCCTTCAGGTAACATATAAGATGCATTATTGTTTCTCAAAATTGTGGATGCCATAGATGATTCTCGACTCTCTGAAGAAGCTTCTAGAAAGGCTGTTAAATAACACCATCAAAGTAATAAGATAACCATTGTGTTAGATAATGATAAAAGGAAACACAACATATATGTGCATGCTATATTTTTATGAGTTAATGATTTTTAAGAAAAGCTCCTGGTAGGATAAGATTAATTAATGGTAGTCATACTGCACTGTTTGTTTATTTAGTTATAAACTAAGTGATCAAAATGTTATATTTTTTCAAGATTTCTTCAAAAGTACCAGCTGTTCTTTTAGGCCCTAGCAGCAAGTGGTGCAGATATGCATGCGAAGGATGCTAGAGGTAAAATTCTGTTCAAACAGTTTGTTGTTACAAATCTTTTGAATGTCATTAGCCTAATTTCTGGAAAGTGTTTAGAGGTATTATGCAAATATTTATATTCATTTTGAAATGTAAAAGAAGGGCTTTGCTTTTGACTCAGCCAGCTTTTTTTCCAGTTGATTTGAAATAATGAGCAGCATCAATTATCTCAAAAATTTGTAAGAGCATTGATTTTCTGTTTGCAAGTGTATTTTTATTATTGACTTCTGTTATGATTGTAGGAAGGACACCTGCTCATTTAGCAGCAGCTCATGGGAATTCTTACACATTACAATCAATTCTAAGAAAAGGAGTGGTATGTAGAGTTTATAGTTTCTGTATATAACAGGTTAGAAAATCTTTGCTGCCAGCTATGTCTCAAATTGATCTTTAATGTTTGCTACACCTCATTGCATCCAAACCCTCCCAGCCTGAAGTCCCCTACACCCCGAAAAAATGCTCTTGAATTAGCTTGCCTTTGTTAAGTATTGCTAGTGCACCTAGAACAGAAACTCGTTTTAATTCTATTTTCTGTGTACTTCTTGTATCCGTAAAATACCAGAAATATCCTATGTACTTTCTTGATTATCAGTGGCTCAGTTCCAAATTTCTTTCATTCTGATTTTTTTCTATTCCCTTTTATAAATATTCCCTTTTATAAAGGACATAACTGCACTTGATAACATTGGTTGGTCTGCCCTTCATGCAGCAGCCTTCCATGGCAGACTTGGCTGTTTGCAGGTAAGGTTGTTAAAGAAATAGAATTCAGATTTTCCCAGCTGCCTTTCTCTAACATCACTCAAAATTTTGTTCATAGCACTTGAAAAATCATCTAATGTAATCCAGGCATGTTACAACAAAATAATTTTCCTTTAATTATTGATTATCATTTCTACTTGCAAAGGACCTATTTTTACTGTTTTACCACATTTCTAGTCACCCATTCATCAAAAAATTTTATTTTAAGGTGGAATAATTTGTTAGTTAATAGGTGCAGAATTGGTGCATAATAGTTGCAAAAAGTTTTTAGAAACTGTAATGTGCTAATTTACTTTACATATTGATACAATCTGCAATCTTACCTAAACAGTCAATTGCACAGACTAGACCCAAGTACAAATTCTATCAGTCATTTCCTATTCAATGGATCAAATCCTGTGAAAAGGGTCCAGAATTGCTTTTTGAGTAATCATATTTAATCATATTAATATGGCCTCCGACAATGGGTGGCTTGGGACCATGCCAAACTCAACCTTTTTGTAAAATCTTTTGTAATGGGTCTTAAAGTTGCCTCTTGGCCCCCAACTTTCCAATTTGCGTCCCTGATTTGCATTATGACCATAGATTTTTTAGGCTTCCACAAATTTGTTTCTCTTCACAGCTTTTTTAATTTATTTTTCTTTTTTTATGAAAAGTTGTTGCATAGATGGGGTGCTAGCTTAGAAGATGTGGACCAGGCTGGGAATACGCCAGGTAATAATTCCCATTTGATATTCATATAGAAACCTAGTGACTGAATACTGGCTATCTTATATTTTGCATTGCCTTGACCAATGTTGTTTTTCATCATAATCCCCCTCCTAAAATATATATACCTTCAAATCATCCTTGTAGGAAAGCTGCACCATAGTATGCCAATTTTCACAGTACAAGAATTTCTCCAACGACAATATAATGGAAAATTAAAAATCTAAAGCAAACTAAGGATTTTCGCAAATTTTTTGTTGTCAAAATTAATTTACAAGAATGTTTTGTTCTCAAATTGAGCTTAACCAAAATGAAAAGCTTTGAGAACAAGTTACAGTATATAGCGTCACAGTATATGTGTGACAATTTACGGTATCTAACATGCTTCCTGATAAATGTCCCTTTTTTATTCTTCAGCACATCTTGCTGCAAGCGAAGGCCATCTGCATTGTTTGAAATACGTTATCAGCTCTTCAGTAAGCATTGCAAACGCATTAGCTGCCAGAAACGATCAGGTATGAAATGTACAGAGCTGTTGATACAGAGGGACTCATTCTTAGCTCTTTACTACTGAAAGGGCAAACGCTCTCGGCTCCTTTATAAATCCTTGTTCCTGTCTTGTTGATCCCCAAATACATACTTGCTTCAGCTGTTGTTAACGTAAAAACAGCTTTGCAAGTCTATACAAAAATATTTCTATGCATAAACTTTTCTCATCTGTGTATATTGTTGCTATGATCTGTTGCTGTCTATATATGTGTATATTTGTAGATATCCCGTAAATCTATTCTTATGTGTGTCTTTTTTTGTGTAGTAGATAAGAAAGTGGAACTAGCTTGAAACCAAAAACTTTGACAGTGGAATTTCACGAAAAGGTCGAATTAACTTGCCAATAAGACATCATAGGCAGTCATTTTTACGATGAAAATTTTATCTGTTTCCCGACTTTGTCACATTGTAACCAGCATCAAAATATCTTATAGTCAATAAATGTTGACCTAGAATGGCTTGAAAGGTTTTATCTCTGGTAGCCTCAAGGAATTGACGCAACCTTTGTGATTCGAAGTCCGATAATTGTGACCCATAATTCCGCAAACATGATGAAAACTATATTCTGCAGAGCAAATAAAAATTTTAATGCACATAAAAATCATTAAACAAATTTTGCATGTCCTATGCCCCAAAAAACCCCCAAACCACGTCCCCGTACCTTCAAACATGTTAAAGTACCCCCCCCCTCCCCGAGGTTCGAAGTCCAAGGAACGGTGGAACAGTTAGTTTTTCTACCGGTGCTAAAGATGGAATTTACCTTCAAATTCCACGAAGCTGCAGAGAAACAAATGTTTGTACTTTATGGGAAGAGAAAAGATTTGCTGTTTCAAAAAATAAGAGTGTTTGCTCTTTACTGTTTTAGGGAGAAACGCCAAGAGATTTGGCCCAGCAGTACCTCAAACACGATTGCCTGGAGTATATCAACGGAGTTGGTAAGTTTACTGTGAATTTCAAGATACCATGCCTTTAGAGCAAGTTTTTGGATGGTATCTTTTTTATTAATTATCGCGATTTAAAGAAATTGTCGACCTTATGAAAAGCACTGGTTTTCTCCTAGGCCTTAAAATGTATTTGCATTTGTAAAGTCATCTATATGTAGGGAATGTGTATCTATGTTGCATCGAACCTTCAAATCCAGTTGGCCTAGGATGTGACGTATTACTAAGTTTTGTTGCATGTCAAGTTGAAGCTCATGCTTTCCTTTGCTCCGTATTAACAGAGTTAATGTAGAAACTTTAGTTTGCCTTTAGAATAAGAAGATTTGTATAGCTTGAGTTTCGTGTAGTTTGTTACACTTTTTCGCACATCCAATGTCCAGTTTTTCTTGTTTGTACAGAATATGACGTAAATCATCCAGAAACAGCCGAAGGTAAATATGATTGTTCGT